CATACATACATACATACATACATACACACACACACACACACACACACATTTACACACACTCGTACACATACACATACACATGCATACATACACTCGCGCACACACACACACACAAAGAGGCGTATACATGCTGGTTCGTCACCTCGTGATCGTCCGTGGCCATGCGCCGAAAAGTAAGGCCGGACCTGACGTCGAGGACGACGACGACCTCGACGAGGTCCCAGACGGAAAGAGTTGCAAGGGATTGAGGACGGTCGAGAGTTCAGCCGCTGAGCGTAGGAAACTCCTAGAAGTCTTTGGCCGCAGGAATCCTAAATCATGATCCCCAGCACTAAGGTACGCGGTCTGCCGAGGAACAAGTAACCCGAAGATCGCATACTTAGTCAAGAATGCCTGTGTGGCTCATGGAGGCTCCGGGCGCTGCTCCAAAAAGGGCTCTTGCACGCAGGTTATTGCAGACAGCCTGGCTTGGTTTGCATTTCTGTATCATGCTTCGCTCCGATAGCAGTCGTAACCATAATCACTCAGTAATCATAGTCACAAAATACCGACAACAACAGTAACGGTAACAGAAAGCGTGGTAGCAGTACGAACCTCCAGTAATTCCTCGTCGGACCTTTGCTGACCCCGAGACTTTGAGCTTAGGGGGGGGACCCGCTCTTGCCGTAGCCCTCTTGGAGGCACCCGAGCTGACTGCCGGAAGGGGGTTCTATCCCCAAGCAGGCGCTGAGGCTCCGACCCCGCGAACTTCTCTGTGCCTTGCTCGAAGAGCTTTACTGCACTCGGTTTGGTCTCGGATTTGGATTTTGGTGGGGGGGCCTCTCGCCTCTCGCTCCTGTGCAGGTGAGGGGAGGTTGGTTGTCCTGGCGCAGTCTCCGGATGTGGATTTCGTACCTGCGTTGAAACCTCCAAGGGATCCACACCGCTAGGACCTCCAAATTCAAGTCCGAGACTCTAAATGTTTCTGCTTCTCCGATTGTCCTTTCCGGTTGAGGGGTTTCGCTTGCGGTACCGAGAGTTGCATTTTCTGGTGTTTGAAGTTACTGTGCTGCAGTGGGAACGGACACTATGAGCGGGAGTCTACGTTTGGGTTCCGTGCAGTTTTTCGCAGCAGCTGCCTGATAGCAGAAGGAGGTAGCGAGAAATTACCATGTTTTGGCACTGATTCCAAAATGCGAAGCCTGAGCAACCAACAAACTCCCAACAACAGCTCAAGCCGTGGTGTTTGCCCAGATCACTGGCTCCCAGCCCAGTCCCGCGCCTCCCACCGTGGGCCCGAGAGACCGGTAAAGTGACAACGAGATTCGGTTGGAACTAACCTTACATGCGCTATTCTCTAGGTTCGTGGCAAGAAGTAACGCTGCCACGATCGCTGGTACAACTCCCTCGACGCTCTGCCCCTGAAACCCCACATCTCGGCAGGGCGCCCCAGGTGAGATCGTTGACGCCCGAGCCTAAGAGCAGTTTTAGCTTGCGCCGTTATTCTATCACTAGAAAACTATTCCTCACAAGCTCCACTCGATTTTCTGGCGACTGTGGTCGAGAGATCCGTAGACAAACAGGTGGTGGTCAGCACCGTTCTCGTTGGAGTGCACGCGTCCTCAGCTTGACGACATCGACCAACATTCACGTCGGAAGGTTTACATAGACCACGCACACACAGAAGCACTCCCGTTCGTGATTTGCTTCAACCGTGCGCCACACTGCACGGAAGTCTTGCTTTTAACCCGTGCCCAGAAATTGCCACTCACATCTCGTCTTCCGCCAGGAGGAGGAGGAGCAACGAAAGCAACGGCGCTTTGTGGAGCGGCGGCAGAAGCTGATGGGCTACGTTGTGGAGGCTCCGCTCGTGAAACTCACTCAAAAAGTCCTTCTGGCATAGGCGTAGGATTTTTAGTGTAATGACCTTTGGGCCCCAAGCTCACAGCCGTTCGAGCATGAACGGGTTTTTCCACTTCCATTTTTCAGGATCGGTGAGTACCTGACAGACAGAAGAAGATTGTTTTGCTAGTGCCGAAGCACCAGGACAACCGTTGCAGTACCAGATCTGTGTGGTATCCGCGGATTTTTCTGCTTCTTTGGGTCCCAGCTCTGCTAGAAAGAGATGCTTCATGAACCATGTATAGTACATGATGTGTAATTGAAACATACATACAGACATGTTACCCCAGAACCCGAAAGCCTTAAGCTTAAATCTAAGTGCTTCCTCCTTGGTGTGCTTTTGCCTCGCAAAAGAGTTGGCCAGGAGGGGGCTGCGATCTACGGGAGCCGTGAGCTCGGCCTGTGCCAGGTTCAGGGTTAATATAACGACTAGCTCATGCACAGCCCCAAAGCCCTATTCTAATTGCTAAGCCTTCTACCGGAAGGAAAAGTTAAATTTTTGGGTTTCGAACTTGCTGTACCTGCAGTTCTGGAATTCGATTCTGGGCGCAAATCAAAGAGTGCTTCGGGTCTTCAGGTTCAGTGTTCTACAATCGTAGACTGAAACCGATCGATCTTCTTTCCAAAAGCCATCCCACGACGGCGACTGGAGGTCAGAAGGCTTACCTTTGGTTAGTAGGGAATGGAAGAATGGTAGTAATAGTGGTTATAGTTGTACCCCATTCCCTACTAACCAAAGGTCAGAAGGAGCAGTACCTGGCAGACCTTCAGCAGCTCTTGAAGGCTGCGCCGGCGGTGCTTCCCCAGGGCACTTAACAGTTCATGGCCTGTCAAGGGCGATATAGATAGTAGGTTGTTTCGTAAGGTGTGGGGGGCCCTTAATTTAGGAATAGACTTAAAAACTTGAAGTGTATGAAGGCGGTTTTCGCAATTTATGGTGCTCTCCTTCGCCAAGAGTTGTCTCAGCGGTTCCAGGAAGCACTTCGACTTCCAGGTTACACGGCCCCGGTGTCAGGTGGATGGGATTGGAATTTGGAAGCTTAGAGGTAGCTCCAAAGCGTAGCGCTGCCCGGAACGAAAGACTTCAAAGACCTTCAATCCTCCAACCCTGCCCTTCACAGCAGAAATTCGACAAATCCTGAATCTGAATAGAAATTCTTGAATCGTAATTTCCATTTCAGCCCTTAGAACCCCAAAAGCCCTCAACCCCAAAACTCACACCCTGAATTCAGCGCTCAGTGGCAGTGGGTTCAGGGTTGGAGGTTTCGCAAGTCTCAAGCCTCAAAACGCTTGGTGCAAGAAGCGGAGGCTGAAAGCTTTGAAGCTCCGGAAGCTCGCTCCAATCCGAAGACCTGAACCAAATTTTCAGGATGCTCCCACCGAGACCAGGGGCCAGTACCTGCAGGACAAGCTGGAGGAGACGGGGTTCTGTTAATAATTAAACCTATGCTACTTCTTTTTTTTTTTTTTTTGGGGGGGGGGTCCTTAGTATAGTGTTATAGAATAAGGGGCCCCAAAACCCTGTCTCTTATCTTGTTGCAACTGGTCTGAGCATCCTGCCGAGTGTTGGGCCATGTGTTCAGAACATGTGAGCCTTGCGCCTTGAGAACCAACTAACAGTGAAATGCTCAGCTATCTACTACTCGTTCTGAGTATGACCACTGACAGTCGCAAGACCAGTGAATAGTGTTGAAGGGCTGACGTCGTGCTGCCGCAGTGGCTGGCATCGTACGTAGTCGTCTTCGTCAGCAGTTTTGCTGTGCTCGCTGAGTTTCTGTTTTGCATATATGGGTCTAGATCATTCTGTGAACACAACGCTAGGTCGGTTCAGATTGAACTGTGAGACTTGCGAAGCAGTCATAGTTGTGCGGTATGCGCCGGCGAACACTCTCTCGTTCTCTCGCCGTGCCAGCAAGCTTCACCTTTAGCCCGCACCTTACAGCTGAAAAAGAAGGTATCGCCCCGTTCTGATGCATGGATGCCAAAATTGAGACCCTTAGACTTGGAGCACACTCCCAAGAGACAGCACGCAGGAGCCGACCCAAGAAATGCTGGCCGTCCGCCTCCCCGAGGTGGCAGCTTTGTTCGATTTCCTTCCGGCTGCACCCAATAACGTTGAGCGAAAGCCTCCGGTTTCGAGTGCTTGTCCCGAAGATTGTCACAATCAATCGTGTCCGTCTGCTGCGTTTGGCGGATCTCGAGGTTTTCCGGTTTTCCTTCTGTTTTGCCCTGCAGGTCCTCGGCACTCCCCGAGACGGTCCGGAGTTCGCGGCATGGCACGTGGAGCCTTACCAGGCACCCGCAGGGAGTGTACTGTAGGAAAAAAGGTTCGGGCGTTTCGAAGGTTTAAGCGTCCAAACTATTGGCAGTCCTGTGCCCATGCTGTTGCTGCTCTTATTGTCCTCTGATGTTTCGTATTTCTTCTGCGATTTTTCTTGCTATGTCCACCGTTCGCATTATCATGGAGAGGAAGTACTGTAACAGAAGCGAGGGTGGTGATGTGGAAGAAGAAGAGGATGATGATGAAGGCCAAGGTTAGAGTGATGATGACAATGACAAGCATGACAACGATGATGGCAATGGCATTATATATTCTGTCGATGGTAGTGCAGGAGGTCGTGGTGCTGGTGGCGGCGGCGGTGGCGATGCAGCTAAGGCAGCTAAGATATCATGATGTCAATGCTGCTTCGTTGTTATTCCGTCATTCTTCTCCGTTTTGTCGTTTTGACTGCAGCTTCAGTGGTTTCTGTCCATGCCCTGTTTTATTAATCATTGGTCGACATCGCTGAATCCTAGATCCTGCCCTAGATTCTCTAGATTTCCATCGACCAGGGGCTAGCAGTACGCGCTCTCCAATTCGAGGGCGGAATGCTACGTTGCCAGTTCGGGTGACCGGCTGTTCCGCGGGTTGACCCTAGAACCCCAGCCTCGGAGTTCTCTAAAAGCCCTAACTTATAAGTTCTCGACATTAGAAACCGAGCCCCTAGCTTCCGCACTCTGAGCCCGTCATCACCTACACGTCGACCAGACCCGGCAGGAGGAGATGCAGATGGTGGGTGAGCTTGGCCCGGCGAGGGTAGCCAGGGAGCCCGGCGCAGCAGAGGCTTTAAAGAAGCCCGAAGCCCTGAGCCTACACGGCCAGATCACATTGCACCCGAAAGCCCTGAATCTTAAGCCTTAAACTCTTAAACCCTGCTTCAGGACCAAACTAACTATAAACCCTTATATAGTTAACTTCGACACCTGAACCCTGAATCCTCCGAAGCCCTGAACCTTGAACCCTAGGCCCTGAGCCTTACACAGCTGAGCCACAAGTGTCAGAAGCACCATTCCGAGGCTTGGTGCCAGTGGTGGGATCGAGTTCAGGGGCGCCGGGCTCAAGAAAGCTGTTGCCTTGTGGGATATCTCCGGGCTTGTTGGGATGCGAGATCGGTTTAGGGTTCAGTGACTTAGTGAGGGCTATTGTCCTGATGGGAGGCTTTGGCTATTCTAGGGTGCTCCCATTTTGAGTCTGGGCTTGAGGTTGAGTGTGTAGACCCCTTTCGGATTGCTTCTGATTGAGTGTCGAAGTTAGTGGCTTTCAGCCTGCCAGGTGCTTAGTGCGTTGCGAGCCGGGGTTTTACGGGGGTTCCAGCGCTAGATGTGCAGCTGTTAGATCCCTCAGGTGCGGTCAAGTCATTGACTTCGTCGACCGAGTCGCCGTCAATGTGGTCTCCGCGGCCTTGACGACTGGTGCCAACGTTCATCCACAAGCGAAGCTCCTTGGCTGGTGTTGTGTGTTGCATAGCCCTCGAGCCAAGCCCACGGCCAATCTGCCAGATAGGCCGACTGCAATTCATCCATGAGTGCGCTGCATTCTTGTCCGGTCGAGTCCAACCCTGCCTCTGATCAGTCTAGCGTGTTCCGGTCTCAAAACGTCAGCTCAAAGGTCAGATGACTCTCTTGACAGACAATGCATGCCTTGCTGGCCACACGGCAACAATGCTACCAGTGGACTACGTAAAACAGAGAACGAAAAATTGCGAAACGCAGAGCAATAAGAGCAGCAGCGGAAGACGAGCAACAGCAGCAACAGCAGCAACAGCACGTCCCATTCCCTAGTCGTCGTTGTCGTCGTCAACTTCGACAAGTCACAGGTAGTGGTGGGGCTAGAGCAGTTGAAGTCGTAGTGGTGATAAGATTCGCCGCACTCCTCGTCAGAATAGCACGAGTGGTCTGACCTGGATTCAATTCTAAGCCCTGTGGTGCCAGTGCCCGAACCATTCGAGGTATCTCATGCAGGGCGAGTTTGTGGAGTATCGGAGGTCCGACTGTGTTGAGTTTGGTGCTTCCGTAGTCGCTTGTCTAAGATTTGGAAGTGTGCAAAACGTTACCAGCGATACGCACATAGGCTCTCTGTCAGAGGACACGGTGGCATACTGTGCGGCTGCTGTGTGTGGCATAATAAATGATGTTGTGCCCGTGCCGCAAAGCACGCGCCAGTTCTTACACTTTATTAAGCAGCGTGTCTACGCCTGGTTTTCGCTAGGTTTCGTTGTATCAAGGTTCATCTGTTGAGCCACGTGTCTTGCCGCTTCTGATGTGTCATCATGTCTTGGTTGGCAAATGCTGTCATCTCCCGAGCTGTTGGTGGCATGCAATACCGGTTGCATGGTGCTCGGTCGCAATAGACACTAGGTCTTCCATGTGGGTGGTTGTCAAAATTAGGGTCCTTTTTTTGGGTCCCTAATATAATACGGCACCTACTATTTAGGGTACCCAAAAAGGGACCCGAATTTCGACAACCACCCATGTGTGTTGCATGTAGTTCGTTGCGGTGTGTTCTGCTCGTCTGTCACGCAACTACTTGCTTTTTTTGACGGCAGAGGTTGCACTGCGTGGCATTTGTAGAACTGTAGGAGGACCCGATTCAAGAGCAATCCTGGTCAGACCAATCCAAACCTTAGAATCCGTCTGTTAAAACTTTTCAGAATGACAACCACATTCTGTCTTCGATGACAGGGTCGAGGCAACCGACGGCAATGCCCGGGCCATCCTCATTCGCGGGGTCAAAGGCATGGCGAGTTCTTCTTCCGACTCTCTTATAAATCTTCCGCGTTGCTAGGACTTCTGCTCCAATATCTACCACAACGACAACAGAGTCACATGGCAACAAGAACGACAACGGCTACTGCTACTGCCGCTGCTGCAGAAAACATTTTGTTGGATGGTATCCATGCTACCACCGTATTTGTCGGGTTGAGGGTTTAGGGTTGGGAGGTATCCTACAAGCGTGTTTGTTATGATAAGGCTATGTGCTTTCTTGGGGTCCTTCAGCGGAGCTGTGATGTCGGTTGCTGTGGAAGTTGGACTGCTCAGCGACAAAACAGGCTCAATGCAACTAGACTGGTTGGAAAGTGGGGAGATGTTAAGACAGCGGCTGCCCATCTGGCGGTATTGTGAATGGATGTGCAGCGATCGTAGAAGCAAGTGTTTGGAACATCGACTCACTTCCATGTCACATAAGCAAAGCCCAAGTACAAGCTAAAGGCGGTGCTGTTGCAGCCGCTGTAGATTTGTTGTGACCCTGAGAATTGCTGTGGTGGGTACAGTACTGATGTGCAGCGCAGCCCTGCGACTCCAAGGGCTCTACACCTCCAAACCTGAGCCCTGGAACATTGAAAACCCGAAGAAGCCCTCGAAGCCTGGACCCCGGAATTGCCTGGGAGGTTGGCCTTTGGCGTGCGAGGCCTCCTCCGGCAGTTTTCTCTTTGCTTTTCTCATGCGAGGGAGACGGGGGGGGGGGGAAGCATGTGATAGCGGAACCGCAAGGGCCGGAAACCTCGGACAATACACTCTGAACTCTTCCGATCATTTATGCTTGCTGCTACAATGTGGGGCACTCTCTAGGAGGTACAGGGGGGGCCTATTGACCCTGAGATCAGGGCACGCATGTTGTCTGACAGCCTCCTATCAACCCCGAGACTTGAGACGCCATAAAGTACCTTCACAGGGCCCTTCAAGGAGCCCTTAAACAAGTGCATGTAATATAGATCAGGGCCAGAGCTCCTTGCTACAAATTACCTTTAAAGATTCCTTTCGAAGGAATCCTTACAGGAACCCTATTCGAGGTATCAAGGGCCCTATTATATTAGATGAGGGACTTTGTAGTTTTGTCCACATCTCCCTGCCTCAGGTCGCTTCACTGGACCCGAGCCGGGCGCTACCAGCCGACTAGCCAATGCTCATGGAACAAAAGCTTTGTCGGCTTGGGTGGGGGAGGTCGGGTTTTGGGGTTGATGGGTTTAAGGTCTAGTTTTTTTCTGGTTTTTGAGATGTTCATGGTCCCTTATTTCAGACCCCCCGCAGTTTCGGCTGTCGGTCTTTTGGGTCTGGGTTCAGGGTTTGGGCTTCACGTGTCATATAAGCTGACAGCTTAGATGACCTGCTATCGATCGAAGAAGACCTAGAAGTCAGGGTGTGAAGCTTCAAAAAGATAGCTCTGGAGCCCAACAGACCACAGACACAGCCGGAAAGGGTCTAGGAAAGCCATCCATGAGTTTGGACGCTCTGTGAAACCTCAAGGCCGCCATCGACATGGTAACTCCCAAGAGCCAAGACGCACGAATTCTTCCCACAAGAACATCAGGCAACAAAGCAACAGACTGAGGAAAACCATAACAAAGCTGCCACGAATAATATTGCGGCCATGGCGTGGTCCGGCTGGGGCAATGGAGGTGGAGGGTGGGGCTACGGCTATGGGCAGAATGGCCAGAACAACTATGCTAATCGTGGCTCTGCCGAAAAGATGTGTGCGCACCCATCGTGTGGGCGGCTGGGCAGAAATATTTTGTGGCTTTACTAACCAGGCCCTCTATCGTGCATCGAAGACTTAGCTAGCATCTTACACTTTCCAGTCTTTCGACGTGGTGGCATCTTCATCGACATGCCTGCTGAGTTTCTAAGTTCTAAACCACGAAGATCCTGAAGCCTGAAATAACCATACAGGAGTCTCAGCACTTGGCAATTAAGCCTCCGTCGCACGGCTCGTTTGCAGTTTCTGTATACCATACATGTTAGTCGGAATGAATGTAACATTATGATTACTGATCCTGATGTTCCAAAACAGAATTTCGCTTCTTTGGCCCCTCTTTACACGGGACACTTCCCTGTATTCGAGCATGATAGTACGCAGTATAATACTTAGGGACACCAAACTAAGGGGATACTAACTATTGGTAGTTATCCCCTTTTTTACTAGTACAACCCCTTCGGGTTTAGTCTGCTTAGGTTTCTTTGTTCAGGCCAAACGCCAATCGCTGAAGCCCACTGTGCGAGTTTCAGGTATAAGCGGTGTCAACATTCACCAATAGTATCCCCCTTTAGGTCCCTGTCTGTATAAGTCAACATAAGATCCGCAAGGGGCCGTAAGCCCCAGCCGGCCCGCTGACCCAGGTATGCGGTGCCGGAGGGCGGGTGGGCAGGCGGCTTCTGCTGCAAAAGGTGCTATGAGGCGGGGCCAGAAACCCTAACCCCCGAACATGAAATCCTACATCAATCCCTATATCCCTAAATCCTCATCCCTCTGAACCCAACTCGAGTCGGAAACAAGCCCCCAGATTCGAACCCGCTTGCTTAGGGTTTCGAGGCTTAGGTTTCAGGGTTTCCTGCAACCGACATATGGGCGCATCTCGACATTCGGGTCCTGGAGGCTTAACCTCTTCGAGCCAGCATACTTCACCGCAGGAATGGAAGATGTTGAAATTTGCCTAAAGGTTGGCTTAAGGCTGTGCAGTGTCGGCTGCAGGCTCCAGACCCAGAGCTTGGCCGTTCGGGGATTTAGGGTCCACAAGTTGTCTGACCCTAAGGACAGCATCCCCTTTTTTATTTACGGACCGAAGGGGCATAATGTAGAGAAGCACCTATTTCGCCAAGCACAGGGATCGCGGCGGTCGGACTCTCCTGAATTAGGGTGAATCTTCAAACTGGTAATTACCAGCTGCTAAGCGCGGCATGGAGGAATATCGCACGATAGTGATACAGGGATTCGATCCGTTCCGAGTTTAGGAGGAAACCGCTTACTACATTGCGGCATCCGTTGCGTGCTTAGCGGGCCTCGGGAGTCTAGGACTCAAGCATCCAACGGCTACACGGGTTAAAGTAGGGTGCTGCTCGAGGGTACTATGCCTTGGATTGCCGACTTTGCCTGAGCACCTTTCACTTCAAGTGTCGCTGCATGCGGTCCTTTTCCGGGGTTTAGCTTGTAGGGATTCGGAGTATGCGTACAGGGTATGATCTAACATCGTTGTGTGACCTTGCAGATCCAAAACCTTCGGAACTGCGGTAGTTGAGTATCGTACCTCCATCGAGAGCTTACAGGAACCCTCTCCTTGTAAACGCTCAAGCCCTAGTTCCTGCAGGCCACATGGGTTAACTAAAGGGTTTGGCAGTCCCGAGATGTCTTAAATTCCCAACCCGCCTCTTCTTCGGTAGACAGCTCAGGGTACAGTGTGCAGGCTTTCTACTTGCCCCCGCTGAAATCTCCGCTTAAACTAAGCTACGGAAATCATGGTGTGTTCCTTGTCAAGGATAAAGCAGGATTCTGTCCATGAGCAGTACAGCCTTAGCTGCTCAAAGCTTCCCTTCGCGGATCCTTTGATCAAGGTCCCGAAGCCTTCAGCTCTAACGCGTCAGGCCTATGTGGGAGGGCAGAAGCCGATGCACGGACGACGCTGCGAAATGAAGGAGGTGTGGGGAAAACCCCGAGCCTCAGCGGATGCCCCGCCGGACATGGTCCCCCTCAATCCGCCCGCCAAGCGACCACCAGCAACACCCACACCAACACCAGCCCTACCATGCCCGGCACCATCCACAGCAGTAGCGCCAAAGGCATCTACAGCAGCAGCGCCAAAGGCACCCACAACAGAATCACCAAAGGCAACCCCGCCTGCAGTCGCCAAGGCAGAACCTGCACCCGCAAAGCCCGCAGCAGTAGCGCCTGCCAAGCCCCGCCCTCCACCACCGCCGTCCGAGACCTCGGCGCAAGCGAAGCCAGCTGCTCCTGCCAAGCCAAGCGCCCCACCAGTGTCGTGGGAGTCGCCTGTGCCCAAGCCAACTCCTCCTGCCAAGCCCAGCATCCCACCAGCGCCGTCCAAGTCCGAGACCCCGGCGCAAACGAAGCCAGCGGCTCCTGCCAAGCCCAGCGCCCCACAAGAGCCGTGGGAGTCGCCTGTGCCCAAGCCAACTCCTCCTGCCAAGCCCAGCGTCCCACCAGCACCGTCCAATTCCGAGACCTCGGCGCAAGCGAAGCCAGCTGCTCCTGCAAAGCCCAGCGCCCCACCACCGCCTTCTCCACAGCTGCAGTCTGATGCAACCAAAGTGATGTCGCCCCAGCCGCCCGGCAATGCTGACTCCGGCCACTCGGCTCTGTTGTTGGCATCTGTTTTGCTAAGGAGTTGGGTGGGGTCGGGAGTTCAGGGATTGGGTGTTTCGGCTCAGGCTTGGTGCAGCAGATTTTTGGGCTTGTCAGGGTTAAAGAGTCTCTGGGCCACTATAGCCGTAGCTGTCTAGACTGTCCTACGGACCAGTGTCTTCGGGGTTCCACTGTTGCATGCATCCTTAGGCCCACGAAGGATGCTGTTTTGACCCATGCAATGGGTGGGAAACCCTGAACCCTAAATTCCTGTACCTTAAACCCTTACCTGTCTTTGTGATGTTCGGCGAGGTATTCCTGCATCCGCGCATCCAGCTGAAGGAGGGCTTCTAGGGTTGCGACTCTGGCGTTTAGGGTTCTTAAGGGCTGCAGGGGTTGTTCGGGGGCTAGGGCTACAGGGTTGCAGGATTTTTGGGCTTTGGGTCTGAGAGGTCAGGGTTGTGTACAACATATGGTACGGCAGAGAGTACGTTCCAGGTTTCCCAGACGAACATGTTAACATCTCAGACCCAGGTTGCAGCCGATGCACCACTCAAGCTTCAAGTCCTGTGGACCGAGAATTTACTTGTAAAGACTCGAAACCTTGAACCAGTCCGGAGGGCTTGATAGGGTCTATATAAGTCCAGCGTCTAGTGTTGTGGGGGTGTCGGATGGACCTGTTTTACGATTCATGGTCGGTTTCGGGGTTCCACAGGGCTTGCTTACTTTATGCCTGGTTGCTTTCAAAGGTCCGGAAAATGGAAGGATTCTATCTATACCCATCGGATGGTTGCCAACCCTGAACCTTGAATTATCATAAGCCCCGATAGCCTTATCACCTTGGGCCTCAAGCCCGGACCCATCCAATGAGACTGTCTGGCGAGCCTTTCGTGGAGGATGGAGATCCGCATCCACGCACCCAGCCGAAGGAGCAGGTCTTCGGGGCTCCTGAGAGTCTGGGGTCGTCGGGATTTCAGGGCTGCAGACTTGGGGTTCAGAAGGGCAGCAGGGTTTCAGGCTTTGGGGGTGCAAGGTTTAGAGTAGAGAGCTTGGAGCATTACAGGTTTGTTAGAGGAACGTGTCGGTGGCTCAGTCCCTGGTTACAGCCGATGGCTTCAAGGCCTTACGAGCCCTAAATGCAGATTCATGTCGGAGAAAATGAACCCACTCAACAACACAACACCTGCCCAAAAAACACCTGTCCTTCTGAAATGCTGTTATGAACCCTAAACCCCCAAAACTGGCACGTCGAATCCAACCTATCAATCTAGCCAGAAAACTACAAGCAAGCCATCCAATAGCTGCAACGGGTTGTTTCTTGGTTGGGTGGCCGTGGCACAGACTCCTACCTCACATCCTGAGCCCTGAACCCCAAAACCTTGTGCTTACATTTATACCGCAGGGATCGTGCTTTGAGGGTATAGGCGGTATAGGGTCTTGCGTCAAAGCACAAGTACCAGAACGATCCATAGTGTCTTTCTGCAGAGGCACCCTGCTCTTACCAGTAGCTGTTGCTCCTGCATTCTGCTTGACCTTGCCTCACGCAACATGTCAATCCTAAACCCAACACCCTAAGATTGCATGGATAAACCACGACCCGGCCAGCAACAACCTCTTCAGGGTACAAGCTTTCGAGTCTTGACAAAACAACCTAACACACTACAAGGCCAAGTTCAGGCCTGAAGCCGAAAACCGGATAATTCTCCGCAGGACAATGGCTGGGACAAGGCGAGCAGCGCTGCGCAGGCTCTTGTCAATCCAGCTGGTTAGCGTCCACCGGCAAACCCTCAATGCCCCAAAATCCTTGAACCCTTAACTGCAGAGCTACTGCAAACTGCGGGCCTCAGATGATGAGGGTTTCTCTCCAAACAGCTTGAAACGCTTCATGTAGACCGCCGTATAGGACTTCAAGAACTCAAGGCCTAAAGCAGCAGACTTTAACCTCAAACTTTAAGCCCCGACTCCTAGGCCTAGGACTCCAAAGAAACGCGTTTCCACCAATCAACAGCCTCCGGACCCGAGGCGTGGTGGACTCCATAGTGCTACAGCCATAGGATCCAAACGTTCATGGCACATGATTCGGAGCAGTGAACCTAAAATCCATAGGCCTAATCCAAGAACCCTTCAAATCGCCGCACCTGAAACCCGAAACCCGAGGCACAGAATCCCAGCTCCCATGATCTAGCTCTGATAGGCGAAGCGGAGCAAGAAGCGAAGCAGGGCGGGAGTTGCTTGGTCCAATAGAGGGTTGAGGGATTTAGGGCGCGGGGCTTCAGGTTATGAGGGTTTCAATGATTTGAGGTTTTGTGCTTGAGGTGTCTAGAGTAGAAGCTAAAGTGAAAGCCAAATACAGGGAAGGCGGAATCATGCTTCGTGGCGTGACAGGAATGTAAGCTGTCCCGGATCAGTCCTCCCCAATTTCACCCACGTATAGGAATGATTGATGGGAGCCCGATGCTGAAAGCTGGACTGTGAGCCCTGATGCCCAATCTATGCCTGTGGCGTGTCACATCCAACAAGACGTGCACATGATGGTGTTCTACAGGTCATGCTGCTGCTGAGTTGTTCAGAAGCCGGACCTTAGCAGAAGGCACGCCTTGCAATCGCACTAAGACGTACCTGGAAAGGAACAGACGAAACTTGGACAAAGATAAGACGCGACAGGATACGCCGTCTTCTTGCAGCAGTGATATTTATTTTTCACAGTGATGAGGACCCAAGCCATCCCGGTGTTGTCGGGTTTGAGTTACAGTCGCCACGTCAAGCGGTGCACTCTCCCTGAAGCCTCGCCCCAGAGGGCTCTCCCTTACAGCAAAGACAAGACATACTATACAGGTTGTGCATGTGTGTATGTATGTATGTATGTTTGTTTGTACGTAGATTTCATGCACATAGCATCTAATGGTAAGCTCTAGATGACTCTATATCCTACTTTTGCCGTGCCAGCGACAATCTAATTGGAGCGTCTTGTAGAACCGTAAGGCCCGACGGCCCAATGTTGCAGCAGTTTCCCTTTCATGTCTAAAGTGCGTATGCCGTAATCCCCAAAGCATCTTGCCCCGATGTTGGCAGGTTCCGGTGGGAAATCCACTCTGCTGCCCTTCAAAGCAGCGCCGACGCAGTCCAGGCCATACCTGCCGGCCCAGCCTTGTGAGCCGCCGTACAAAGCGGTGCCAACAAACCCAACCTTGCTGCAAAGCAGTCAGACACTCAGTCGGTTCAAGGTCTGTCTTAGGCTGTGGGTAAGAGGTCCATGGTGGGTATCGCATGATTCTGTTGCACTCGCATTGGTGGCCGTAGCTCGATTCCATGTGCAGCCGTCTTGGGCGGCCGGGGTTCAAAGTCTCTCGATATATGTTGATATACGAGGTAACCGGTTTAAGCCAGGCGCTTGGGAGGAAGCTTCGATAAAAGAGGTCGAGGGTTTAGACCCGTTAAGAGCGAACTCACTCTGTTTATCTGGCTATCCACGTACATGGGTATCTGTCTGTCTATCTACCAACTTACTTAGCTACCTACCTACTTACCTATCTACCTACGTATCCGGCGGCGCTTGTGTATTCAACCACACCGCAGTCTTCGAACCATGCGAGACAGGCATGCAAGCAAAGCAGGGTTGCCCACACAAACACAATAGACTCCGGAATCTTGGGGTGCCTAATTTTGGGGTCCTTATTATAATAAGGGTCCTACTATTTAGGCTACTATATTAGTTATTAGGGTCCCTGCAAAACCCTAAACCTGAAACCTTTCACTCCGAAGCCCAGATCAGCTTGCAAGAGCTGAAGGCAAAGACCAGCGACACGTGCTGCAAGCGGGCGAGAAGAAGGTGAGGCTTCCAGAGGCCCGGTGAGTTTCCTCTTGCGACTGTTAGGATGAGGGCTTTATATATACAGTAGTATACTATTATATACTGTTATATACTCAAATATACAACAAGATATTATTATGGGTTCTGTTTTTGCTTGGGAGTTGGCAATGCTCTGAGGGTTGAACCTCTTCTTTCCCCGGCTTGACGGAGATTGAGTGTTAGCTTTCCTTGACCCCTAGCCTATCCTGTACAATCACCAAAAGCCCGTGCAAGCTGCAATCCCGTTGCCGTCCCGACTGTCGGGAAAGCAGGTTCCAGAATCCGGCGTAAGTCCCTAGACCGTATACCGAAGGCTTGTCCTAAGGATTGGGCAGGTCCGAAAGGGAAACTACAAAACCTTCATAAAGCCCTGTCAATGAAGCCCCCTGGTGTTAGGAAAACTGGGCCAGCGAGCTTCTCAAGCCGCTGGTGCAATTCCTTGGTCCGAGCCACAAGGGCCAGAAGGGGGCATGGAAGGGCAAGTTTTCAGCGATTCGGGTCCTTTTAGGGTTGTGTAGGGTTCTCAGGCCTTCAACGCGTTTACGGTTCCTATGATTTGCAACGTCCCTGTTTGAAATGGTTATGGGGTCTTTTCGCGGGTAGAGAAACGTCTGGTCTGACAAACGAGGCCCTGCTTTTCAGCACAAGGGGGTTTTGCAGGTGGTTAGGTTACCGAAATCAGGGATCATGAACATGAAACCCTAAACTCCTGCAGACTGTATAACTCCCAAACGAGAGGCCCGAAGCCTTGAACCCCAGGACCCGTGGGGTTCCAGGCAGGATTTGGTTGAGTTGAGGGCTTGGAGACCGGGGTTAGTGCGGAGCTTCAAGTCTTGCGGGGCCGTTGGCTGTGAATGGCATGGCGCTAGATAGACCCCAAACCCTTAATTTAACCGTGGTTGCATTTGCCAGGGGAGTTTGTTGGCTCTTGACAGGAGTCTTGAATGTTCGAGGTTGAGAGCGTGTCCCGAAAACATTGCACTGAGGCCTGGCAGAGGAGCTGAGAGGCCAGAACAGCCTCCACTGCTGCCAGAGGCTTGCTGAGCGCTTCAACAAGGAGGCGGGGTAGGGAAGAATTCGGTAGAACAGAAGGAAGAGATGTTGTGGTCTTAGCTGCAAGATTTTGGGCGCTTAAGTTTTGAGGGTTGAGGTCCTAGGTCTTGCTGTGGCCTTCCCTAGGCCCCGAAGCCTCAACCTAGACTCAAGACGACAGAAGCTGCTGCTTCCGGGTTTACGGCCTCGGGTCTTGGGCTTTGGGCATCAATTTAACGTAGCCCACTGTGCATGCCGCAAATGCAGGCCAGCAGAAGCCTTATCACAATCTCTGAGCATGTTTTGGAGTTACCGGTGCTCTGGGCTGGATGGGCCTAAAGGGGTTTAGGCCCCCTGCCAAAAACTGGGAGCTGAATGAGCCCGCGTGCCCCAACGCCTACTACTCAAAGGCCTTTGCGGGGAAGTTGCCAGTGAGTCCATGCCCTTAAATCTTACATCTGTGATCCCATAAAACTCGAAACCCTTTACCTTTATACACAAAACCCTCGAAACTCTATAAACTCCGAACCGTGTCAACGCTACACCCTAAACTCTGCACCAGCAGCCTTGAACCCGCAAACCCTCAATCCGAACCGGTATAACCAAGCCTCTGACTCTGAACCTATCGCTGTTGGCTCAGGTGATGCAGCTGGCGGAGCAGCTTTCTAGCGGCGATCGCGAGCTGGCCCGCCTCTTCCAGACAGTCGTATCGCAGACGCTTGGGACAATCGATCAGAGTTTTGAGTTTTGAGGGTGTCAAGGCTTCTTGGGGTTACCAGTTTGGGAATCAGGCCTCGGCATGCGGGATTTGGGAATCCGGCGGTAGCAGTGCCTTAAAGCGCTTCGAGTTCGAAGAGTGCTGGTTATAGTTGACAGACCAAGGCACATGGGCAACGCCCAGGCACACGAGGCGCAGTATTGCCAAGATGCTTCCTAGGATTTAGGGTTGATGGATCACGGTGCGGGTTGAGCTGGTGGCATGATGCTGTCAGCACTCCCTCGACATTTAAACCTCCCCGGGAGCTTGAAGCCCATGTCCTAGAACACCTTGGCTCTGCACAGTTCTCCATATACCTGGCTCTGAGTAGGTGTTCTGCCTCGGGCCTTTGAGCTGTCCAGGTGCGTTCTACCCCATCGCCGATCCTCATGAAATACCTTTGCTTCTGCTTGCCCTATGACAGCTGCGCTGCCGTCCTCACGAGGGAGGTGCGGGCCGAAACCAGGGGGGGTTTCAACCCAGTCTGGGAGTTCCTGAGAATTAGTCACCCTAATGTAGCACCCTAAAGTGTACCCCATTTTGAAAAGCTCCATTCCGACAAGGATATGATGCTCAAGCGCGTCATGATCTCCCCGGAGCCGGTGCTGGCAGGGGCCATGCTCTATGTGGCGAAGGCCAGACACCATGACTCATGATAAATAGTTCCCATTATCAAAGCTGTTTCGGTGTGGGGGGCTGGGGAGTTGGGCTAACATCGTCCGTGAGCCCATCAGTTAGCTGGCTCTAGGATACCAAACGGCCAACAAGAACGATGGCACCGCAGGGTGAAGAGGAAGGGGCAAGCCCTAAGCGTTACACCCTCAGCCCCGAAGCCTCATCCTGTTTTCATGTTTTTGAAATGACTTGCATATATCAGCCAAGTCGGGCAAGTATTTCAATTCTGGCGAAGTTGATTCGATGCAGTTCACTGCGATAGGCAAACTGACGAAGTTGATCTGATGCAGATTTGGCAAAGATACTGCCAGATCCTTGTCAATCAATATGAATTCCCCAATGTTTGGACAGCGATTCGAACACATCTTCAGGTCGGATGAGTCTTTCACATCTGACGAAGTTGATCCGATGCACTGAACTGTACTTAACTGCGATAGACATATCTGAGGAAGTTGATCCGATGCAGAACTTGGCAAGAAACTGGCAAATCTACTCCCCAATGCTTTCGCGATGATGCGAACATGTATCTTCCAATCGAAGCGGATGAGTCTTTTACATCTCACGATGTTGATCCGATGCACTTAACTGCGACTAGTCAAACCTGACGAAATGTATCCGATGCAGATTTCGCGATATTCACAAATCCTTGTCAATCAATATAAGTCCCCAATGTGTTCACAATGATTCGGCTGTGTCATGTCTTCCAGTCAAGTCGGATGAATCTTTCAAATCTGACGAAGTTGATCCGATGCAGAGCTGGCAAAGATACTCACAAATCTTTGTCCATCATTATGAACTCCCCTATGTTTTTACAATGACTCGATTATATCTTCGAATCAATACAAAAACGCAAATCCATGCCACGGAAGCTGAGACTTTCTTTCGCTTCACATCCGCGGTTCAGAACTTCTTCGTCGAGTCTAACAACCAGAATAATCACAAACTTTGGGGTGTAAACCACCCTGACCTGACCAAAACCTCGCTGTGCGCGGTGTTCATGGCTTTTGAAACCACCCTCAACACACGACTCCAAAAAGGGACGTGCCGAATCACAGAAAATGCCACGCTTGCTATGGTTTTCACAAATATAGCTCTGAAAGCAACACTTGTGTTGAGAGCTCGTTATTAGTCCAAAATCGCGCTGTCACTGCGACGAAGTGCTTACTCGCACAAAAACAGGCACGACAGTTTCCGACACGTGCGCTTGTGGTTGTGCTTGTGCTTGTGGTGGTTGTTGTTGTTGTGGTTGTTGTTGTTGTCCTTGTTGTCTTCTTTGTCTTTGTTGATGTTGGTGTTGGTGCTGTTCTTGTTCTTTGTTGTCATTCTTTGTGTTGTTCTTTGATGTTATTGTTGTTGCTCATTGTTATGTGTTATTGTTATTTGTCTTTATTGTCTGCTTTGTCTTTGCTGTTGTTGTTGATGTTGGTGTTGTATGGTTGTTCTTATTCTTCTTTGTTGTTGTTCTTCAGTGCTATTGCTGTTGCTGTTCCAGTTCTTCTTGTTGTTGTTGTTGTTGCGGCGGTGTTGTTCCTGGTTGTTGTTGGCGTTGTTGCTGCTGCTGCTGCTGTCACTGGTGCTGTCGCTGCTGCCGTTGTTGCTGCCGTCGTCGTCGTCGTCGGTTTCGTCGTCGTGGTTGTTGTTGTTGCTGTTGTTGTTGTTGTGCTAATGGTGGTGGTTGTTGTTGTCGTCATTATGTATGTTCCTGTCGTTTTCTTGTTGTTTTTGTTGTTCTTGCCGTTGCTCTGCCGAGGTGCGCACGGCGAATTGGTCTGCCGCGCACAGCCAGCGCTGCAGCACCCAGGCTAATGCATTGCAATGAGCTGAACTCGAAAAGTCACCGGCAGCCTTGCAGTTTGCTGCAGTTTGGGTTTGGCAGACGGAGATGTGGAAGCTTGTTGTATGGATTTCTTCGAAACCCTTCAGTTGCAGGCAACGGCCGTCCAAGCTTGGGCTCAAGACATCTGGAGTCGAGCATCAGCCGCATATGGGTTACCACCTCCAGCTCCTGTAAACCAGACACTTTACCCGCGATGAGACCGAGCACAGGCATCCCCGCAACCCCACTTCCCATAGCCCCGCATGCCTTTAGCGTTCACCCCGTTTCTCAACCTGCCTACTAAATCAATATAAATCAACCATGCCAGACCAAGATCCACAACAAACACGTGAATCCACAACACACCAACGGGTAGAGGATGTGAGGTGTGGGGTTAGCCTATGCCTGCTATACGGCCTATACCCCCAACCAGTGTGCCGTGCCCCCTCCTCAATCCCATCCGTGCGCAGTTCTACGGGCAACAGAGCAAAGTTTGCCATGAGGGCAGATGCCGTGATTTGTGAAAAGTGCATATTAAGAGGCTCATCGTTAAAGGTGCTTGTGACGAGGACCCTGCTAGTTGGAGGATCTTAGAGGTCTAGGTTTTGGTCCCTGTTTAAGTCCCTGAAGTCTAGACTGTACATTTGAAAGAATGGCGCCAGCGAGCTGCACGGAGGCAGCCAGCTCACATGCTAGATGCGCTTAAGCTTTAAGGCCGACCCTAGACCCTCGCCTGGACAGAGCTTGTGGTTCGGTACGGATTCCGGGCAAGGGGTGCGAGCCGCGCGTGTCGTTCTTAAAGTAGGCTCTTGCCATATGTCTTTTTCTCCCCGACCATGTTTTGGCACTTGGTTCGGGAGTTCGGGATGCTACTCACAGGACCGTGTCAACTCTGCACGTTCGGCTCTGCCCCTGCCCGAATACAGTAGTTCAACTTCACCCGCAAGACCCTATCCGAACGCTGAGCTTGGAACCCGTGCAGGTGATGACGATGCAGCCGGTCGTGCGTCGATGTTCGGCCACAAGAAGCCACTGGCCCAGGACCCGCGAATCTTCCCCGTAGCGCAGGCCCGAAGCTCTGAAGCCCCCATCTCTTCAAGCCTAAGCTTTAAAGGCGGATGCAGCACGCAAATCTCAACTAGCCGAGGCCCCTGCCAAGATCCGTGAAGAGTTCCTTTCTAGATCCCGCCACGATGCAGAATAACAGCAGACCTTGAGGGAATTCGCAACAGTGAAAGCACTGCACTCAGTACAGCTACAACACGATGCGCTCACCTGTGTGTATGCATGGATGGAAGGATGGATGGATGGACGTCTGGATGGTGTGCATGTCTGCATGCGGATATGCTGGGAGGGCAGGTGCTGGTATGTTGATATGTGGGTATGTTGGCATGTAGCTTTTACTCGCACTTATGTATGTACGTATGTATGTATGTATGTATGTATGTATGTGCGTAAGCATGTGGCTATCTGCGTGGGTACAGTTCTTGCCAATGGTTTATCTCACACAGCCTGTGCCACTCGCAAGCACACCTGAGCCGAGGTGCGGCCCCCAGCTTGAAGGAGGCCAGTTGGGGGAGTTTCCGGGTGGATTGAATGTTTCTTCATTGTGAATATCGCTGGGAGTCCAGGATCTTTGAGGTTTCAGAGTTCAGCCTGAGCTTTCGAATCTGTCGCAGCCGTGTTGTCGTCTTTGCGTCGTTGCCGTCGACGGTGAAGTCACCAGCGACGACTCCGTGACATCGTCGTGCTTGCTATCAGTGGCATCATCGGAATCATGTTTACCTACCGGACGAAACGAGACTGCATACGACGATGCTGTAACTTTGTATAGATTCACTTCGAATCCACGATATCTGTGTATATGGTTGTGTACATGCATGCCTGTACATGTGTTGTTGACTTGGTGTTTGAATGCGTTGCGGTTTTGCGAACAATGTTTGTTGCAACGTGCTGAGACTTTCTGTTAGATTCGATAACTTCCTCCTGCTCCTAGTCTTGGTAGAAACTCTGTCCTAAACCCTAAACCCAAGCCCCTACACCCCTGGGCGCCACCCCGAAAGCCCGCATCGTGGTGATTTGTTAAGGTGAGGGTAGGTGTCGATGGAATGTTGACCTGCCTAAGGCTGCAGCATCTTGCGGCAACAGGGAACGCAATGGGATTGCTAGTAAGAGGGATGCTAGGAGGTTTTGGTGGTTATCCCATTGAGTGTGTATCGCGGATGTGTTCCCATCCCTCAACCAGTATGGTAGTCTGGAGGCGTACGGCTAACAGACACGAGGGCTCACAAGAAAAGAAAGCCTGCATCGTTTTTAAACCCCAGACCCTGCAATCTCAATTTATCTTCATGTTGGCCTTCTTCTTCTCTGTCCTGCCGGCGAGGCCTTGCGACAAGGAGCGAGCAGTGAGGTCTTGGTCACCGCTCTCCAGGAGGAGAACTACAGGAGCGATCCCGCGTTTCTGAGGGTGCAAGCATTTAAGTTGGCAGGGTGGGTTCAGGCGCATCGGAGTTTAGTGTTTAGGACTTGAGGTTTGAGCTCTGGCGGTGAGCCAAAATTGCAGTGCTGGGTCCTGTACATGTCTGGTTTCATCATCCTTACTTCCACCCGATCCGGGTAATATTTCTGATGTCTCGGGCCCTTTCACCCGAAACTGAAAGTCATACGTCCTGCGACACCGATGCCTGCTCAGAGCAGGGGCTGGTCTACATCGTAAGGGTTGGGGTCGACACTGGGGGTTTTACTTGTTGTTTTGCAGCTCTCCGACTCCAGAGACGCAGGCTCAAAAATCGCATCCTTTGGGATCCCTGTGTCAGGAACCACGTACCATGAGTCTGAAGTATAAGGAAATTCTCCTTAACTAGCTTTCTGGTCAAATCCTCTCTTTGGGAATGCCAGGCTCCGATTTCGCCGCTCGAATGCATCGGCACGCTCAAGTACGACTCTTCGGGCTGAGTGGTGAAGTGTAAACTAAGTTTTTCTGCTTGCGCATCGCAAACCCAGACATCTTTCGAGGGAACTTGTTTTGGTTGAATCCTCTGGACTTAGTTGATACCAGATCCTAGTCGCGGGCCTGAAATTGTTTGGAGTGTTTCACACAGCTTCAAGGCTTTGCGGGGTTCTTCATGTGCTCAGAGCTTTCAGAGTGGCACGAGAGAGCTACAAAGAGTTGAGTCGGGCCAAACATTAGGCCCTCGACCAGAAGACCCTGAAGCCTGAAGGCTCAGGGATTTGCAGCTTAGGATTTCCATGAGTTTTTGTTCATCTGTAGCTGTTGAGGCTGAAGATGCCCTTGTGCTTCATGGTTATGGATTCGGCTTCAGGAGATTACGTTTGGGAAACTGGCTTCGGGATCGAGTGTTCGGATTCCAGGTCGGTCGCAACAGCCACCCAATTTTGCTTCGATTTACGAGTCGAGAGTACGAAGACCGTCGTCCCTCGTAATCCCCATAAGGCCCTTCCAAAAGAGAGTATTCCCAGCCAGCCGTCAAACATAATTTGTTAAGAGCCTCCTCTGTACCTCATGCAACATGCCCTTGATTTGTCATCATCCTCAAGCAGATGGGTTGAGGTAATTAAAACTAGCAAGGCCAGATAAGTTACAGATAAGACTGATATTTACACTGTTGTACTACCACTATTCTACGCAACTCTTTCTCTCATCCCAGGTGAGCTGCAGCGGCGGCGCGGCCACTGCCTCCGACGACTCTGTCACGGAACTTTCACGGCCTGGTCATCGCACTGCGCCGCGCAGAGGGAGGCGCTCCGGGCCGGCTGAAGGAGTTCGGAAGAAGACCAACGTGCAGACTGTAGTCCTGGAATATTTATGGTTCAAGATTTGTTTGTCAGCCGAAGTCCGAATCTCTCACTCGACGCAGTCTGCCGTTTTTGTTTGGTGACATGACTCGTAGGCTTTAGGGTTGAGGCGGTGCAGTACTAGCTTAAGCTGCGCACAGTGTATTGTGGTTGTTTTATCCATCACATCCTGTTCAATCTACTATATGGCTCTATCTTACATATCTTATATACAAGAGTATGCATACACGTAGATATATATATATATATATGTATATATATATATATATATATATATATACATATATATATATATGGATCTAGACAGATACATACCTTACTATATGATTTTGCAGTATGCTGTACGATGCACGATAAGACGACTGGAACCAAACCACCTGTAAGCAGGCCGAGGCGCGAGCTTCGCAGCGACAGCAGCTGCTGGAGAAAGCAGCTCCTGAGATTCATACTTATCACCGTGGCTTGAGGGTGTAGGGTTTCGGGCTTTAGGTTGAGGGGAGTAAGGCCCACGAGATTTGTCTTAAGTTCAAAAATGCGCTGACTGTCAGCAGCTGGCCTTTATGCAGAGGCCGGTCCGGCAGGCTGCTGCTCTGTTTGTTGTGCTGTATTCAAAACTAAAGCCTCGCTTGCCTCGTCCCCGAAATCGAAGCTCGTGCAAGCTCAGCTGTATACGAGATCAACGATAGAAGTTATGCGACATGACATATACGGTTTGAGATCTAGCACATAATATAGAACCTGTCGTATACAATATACACCAAAAGGTATCGTGACAATAATGCTGATGCCAGCGTACCTCTTGTAACAATCGTGATGTAGAGCCGATCTAGCTGCGTGCACCTAAGATGATCCCTTGAGCTAGGCCCTTCACGACTATGCACAGCCGTGTGTTTGTGTGAAATACATATGGCAACGTATCTTGTAAAGCGGTAGGCAGATGAATACATGAGTATACATATGTTGTATTATGTTATGTATACACATACCTTACATGCAACACATACGGTACATATCTATCAAGTTGCCTCCGCGTGAACCAAACCAAACTTGTGCCCAGGTAAGTTTTTTGTGGGGGCCTCAGCTCTTTCGGCATGCATCAAGAGGGAGAGCCTGTGGGTTACTGCTGTGAAGTGTTAGGTTTCGGTTCAGGGCTTCTGGGCTTTCAGGGTTCGGCTTTTTGCATCTGCTACAACCTCAAGCTCCTGCAAAAGCCCGAAGTCTAAGTCAGCCCTCAACCCTAACGCCCAAACCTCTAAATCCGAAGCCTCAGCCCTGAACCTTTCAATTCCTCCATCCGGCAGCCGAGCTTACCGGGCCGATTCCCTGCCCCAGGGCACACATCAGATCGCCACGTGATGGGGCGCTCGCGAAGGTGGGTGTAGGGGCCGAGGTGTGTTTTGTGGCTTCAGGACATTTGCCTTCCAAGCACGTTGCGCCCCGAGCATAACAATCTTCATCAGCCCTGTCTAAAGCTCGGATATGTGCATGTCTTGCGTGCCGGCTCACTGGCCTGGCGGTATACTGGCCGTGGATTTGCTGCTTGGGTGTTCACTCAGGAGACAGTCATAGCATGTAACAGGAGCCTTTTCGGGCCGCGGCCTGAATGCGCGAATGAACGATTGCATGACTGGACAACCCTGTCAGTGACCGCAGACTGCTCATGATAATCCTCTTCGTCGTTTCCATCATGTTCCGAGACGAAAGCTTTATTGTAAGCTTGTCGGCTGGTCGGCCCAGAGGTCTACAGTATCCTATTGAGATTCGTAGCATCAGAGAACCTACCAGTAGCAATCCATTGCTGGCAGGTGACTTTCGAGCGCTGGCGGCAGCTGGTGCCCGAGCTTAGAGCACTTCGATGCCTTCTGGAGGAGTTCGGAGCTCTGCTCGGTCACTGCTATCTTCCTTTTGGACGATCGGTAGTACTGACAACAACAACAATAACAGTCGTAGTAACAATGACAATAGGTTCTGATAATCGCAACAACAATAATGTTGGTGGTCCGAAGTAGCCATGCTGCTGCTACATCCTCGTGGAGCACTCTGTTCCCTTATCCAACGATGACTGCTTGATCGTGGCATCGGAGGATGGTTGAAGGGCAGCAGCTGTAGTGGTAGCAGTAGAAGGCAGTAGATTTCCCCTCCTCCCCCTCCTCATCTTCCCTTGCCGTCTTTTCCGCCTCCTCCTCCTGCTCTTCCTCATCGTCAGTCAGCATCGCTCTTCGGCGGTCGTTCGGTGTCGCCGGTCGTGGTCGTCATCGGCCATCAGCATCCCACACACCCAGACTAGCAACATTGACGATGTCGGGTGACAATGGTGACTCTGTGATGATGGCGATGTGGTTGTTGTTTCTGTTGTTGATGATGATGATCATAATGAATCATGGCGTTTGCCTGTCACACGCACGCCCTGCCAATGCCCAGTCAGTCAAATGATTCCAGGAGCTTGCTGAACACCGGCAAGGCCGCTCCAGGCTGGGCCTTTTGCTTTTCTGCTGCTTCGGGGTTGGCGCGCCGCAGAGTCGCATAGCAGGCTGGGGAACAGAAGGACGGTTGGGTTCTGCAGCAGTCCTAAAATGCAGGCCCGAACCCAGAAAGCCCCCTAAACCCTGAGATCCCTCAGTCCGAAAGCTCTAGACTGCGTTTGATCCCAGGCTTCTCCACCAGTATCGACACCTGGAGGCCCGCTTGTGCGTCGGCGCAGCGAAGCATCAGCTGAAGGGTTTGAACGCTTCAAGCTTTCAGCAATCAGGCTATCTGAGCTATCACTCGCATAATTCAGCCGAAGCTCTGAACACCTCGTCCCAGCCGAAGATCTTAGCATGCCGTGATGCCCGGAAGCGGAGGCACAGTTGCTTCAGTCGCAGGCTTGCCTCAAGAGCCGCCGGCATGTGTTGGGTTCCGGAAGGTTTTACTTGCATTCTGTAGCGTGCTTGTGCACTAGATCGTACGACACTATGTGTAAGTCTAAGTAAAGAAAGGCCAAAGACACTCACAGCCTTGATTTTGAGGTTCTCGCAGGCAGCAGTGGTCTGAGTATGAGCAAAGCAGCGAAATCCAAAATACTGATGGACAAACTCAATTCCAAGTTTCATTGTTAAGGCTGCCTCTACAGCAGTCGGTACAACACCTCTAACTATCATCCTCCAACTGTGGAAGAGGCCTTTCGCTACCTGTAAGATCTTAGGCAGAAAACATCTGCAAGACCTTACCTTTATCCTCATCAACAAGCTTGAATGCCTCATTCCCTAGCAACGCCAGGGCGCTGGCCGCAGGAGAGAAGCTGACCGAGGCGGGCCCAAGGGCCTGCCAGTGAAGGGATGATGTCCCCAAAGCCATGGGAACACAGGCAGAATCAGGCGAACATTCCCATATACCAGGAAGACTTACCAATCTTTCCTACAACTCCGTGGCCTTGGAAATGACTGTGGCGTGATTGCTCGTCCCGAAACCTAAAACTGTTGCTGCCATTTTTCGCGTGCAGCTGAGAGTACTCAAGCCCGGCCATCCGTCACATCCCTTTGTGCAATCTCTGCGAGAAAGCAGCACCATGTTGTCGAGGATGGTATGCTCGCGCCCGGCAGCTGCTATGGCAGCCTGCTACCGCCACAAGCAAGGCTTGCAGGTGACGTCTTTAGTCTTCAGGCGAAGTTTCTTCAGTTTCTGCTTTGGACGTTCGCAGGAGGAGATAGAGCTGGAGAAGATGAAGCTCGAAAACGAAAGGATGAAGCTGGAAAATGTCAACAGGCAAGTCCGCCTTCGTGAGCAGGAGACCAGCCTTCGTGAGCAGGAGACCCGTCTTCGTGAGCAGGAGATTTGCGAAAACCAACGTGTGAGTGAGGAAGGGCGGCGACAGTCGGAGTCAGATGCGGCTACACTCAAGAGGCCCAGGGTAGAAATGGTGCAGCAAGCCCAGAGTCAGGTGGCGCATGCACCCGCGAACGAGGAGGACGTCTTGAAGGAGCTTGAGACGAATGGTTTCACATTTTACAGCTGCCCCCAATACTTCGTTGCTGAGGAAGGCCGTGTTGAGCAGGCAGCCAATGATGCGTTGCAACAGCTACCATCCAATACTCGCACTACGGTTGCTCGTCTGATGGCAAACACAGAGGAGAGCGCCGGGGCCCAGATGATCTATGAGTTCAAGGATGGGCAGGGGGAGCTCACGAAGCTAGTCTACAAAGTGTCCAAGACAGGCTCCAAGAAAGCAGTTGCAGTCATGCCATTTGGGGCTTCCTTTCAGTGTGCCAAAGTTGTCAAGGGCCACACCACCACCAAAGAGACTGTTCCCGTTTTCGCAGATCAGCCACGTGAGCAGTTGGCCGAAAAGGGTTTCTTCACGGACACCTACAAGACAGTCTATGAGCGCAAGCAAGTGGGCGTAAAGACCGTTGAGAGGATGGAGCCAATCTTCGATGAAAAGGTTCTCAGCGTTGACAAGCAGACCGAGATGATGAACGCCTTGGAAACGAGGGCTTCCCGTAAAGTCCTCAAAGAGATTTGCTAAGTAGCCGAGAACCGGCCTCCAGCAGGATGCGAGGCTCTCAATCTCAAGGTACAGATGTGACCAAAGTCCAGCACTGAAGAAGGGTGGGATCCCTCCTTGAGGCTTTGGTTTCGGAAGTGAATCAAGCGTGTTGTGTCACGCAACTATATAGAGGCAAAGACAATTCTTAAGGTGTGCCGGCCACTGGACTATTCCGAGTGGTGGCACTGCCTGCATTGATCCGACGGATGACATGGCGAAAACAGAATCGCATCCCAAATGCTGCAAGCTGTGAGTCTCCGCTTTCGGTTTTGAAGCTTCTCTGAAACTACTGTTTCTTGCTTGACGAACACTCTCTAAAGACCTGTACAAAACCAACCCCATAACACCATTTAGCAGCGTTGTTCCTCATTTTCCTGCGGCATGGCTCAGCCAGGCCCGAAAACCCCAAACCCTAAAGTGAAAGGCCATACGACCGCCCGTCAAACCCCAAACCCCTAAACCCTTAAACCCTAAGCCCACCCTGGGAATTACCCTTAAAGCCCTAAGCCAGGTCCTTGAGCTGCCCGCAGGGCTCGCGGAGGACCTGAAATGTACAAAGGAGGGCCCTGTGATGCTTTAGCGCTTGGGGTTACGAGGGTTGAAGCTTCTGGGATTTTTCAGTTTCTAGATGAATAGGACCTTAGGTTTTTGTTGGTGGGTTTCGGAACTGAAGCTTGAAGAGCTACGCGCAAAAGCACATGTGGGAGCATCAGGACTTTTTAGTATACGAACGTAGTAGGACTCGAAGTACCTGGAGCCCGAACTTAGCCACCCCGAACTCAAGAAGCCTCCTTGTGAGACTGTCCCCTTTGAATGAAGCTAATGCAAACAGGCCGCACTCAAGCTGCGGCCTTGCATGCATGAAGGTGGCAATGCAGCAGTTCAAAAGCCAAACTGCGCGGACAGGTTCAGGATTCTGTGGCTTGCGGCTCTTGGTTTGGGCAGTGTTACATTCCAAGAAGACAGCAAGAAGGATAGGACCTGTACTTTCCTTTGTCAAAAAAAGAGGAAGGCTCGACCCGTTGTCTTGTTTCTTGTTTCAGGGTACACCCTGGTGCTGCCTCTCTGCTTCTTGTGGCTGGTGGTATCGAGGATGGTTGAGGGTCGGCTCTCGACGAGCGAGACGGTTGCTCTTCGGGGTCTTTCAGTCATAGGGTGTAATGTAGACTCCTGGTCAGTGGTTATAGTGGGATCCTGAGTACAAGCAGGGTCTACACAAGACCCTCCGGCTAGCAGAGCCAGACTTTCTCTGTAAAGTCCCTGGAGCAGGATTCCCGACTACAGCTACAGCGTAAAATGCCACAAGAAGTATTCAGACCTAAAATGGGGCATGGTCTTTTTTGAGAAGCCACAAAAACTGATAGTTGGGCAGTACATCAAAGACTGTTTTGCTTCGGAAAGTATAAATTGGGATGGTGACCGCAGTCCTGGCCCAAGTACAGCCGCACTCGGCTCTGCGAATGTGCGTCCTTTGCTGTGCGCCTCTGCCCCACTTGGAGGTGATGTTAGGGTTTAGGGCTTTAGGGTTTAGGGCTTTAGGGGCTTTTTGGTTTGGTTTTAGCGTCTAATTAGGGTTTCCGGGCTCTTTGGGTCTATTTAGGCTCCATGGGTTCCAGGGTTCGACTGAGGGACGTGGCAGACCGAGAGGTCCCACCATCTCCCCAAAAAAGCCCAAAACCCCCAAACCTGCTCAGTAATCAGAGGTAGCTTTTGCTCCGATCAGCCGGTCGTCATCAAAATTGCCATCATCGTCATCTTAGTCGTCATGGCCATCGACGTCATCACCTTCATCACCATGGTGATCTCACCATCGTGATGGTCTGCCTCCTCCACATCATTTTGATGATCTCTACAGTACCTCGTCATCCTAATCATGCCCTGAGCACCATCAGCACATGCCAAGGACAAGGATGCATAGATGCAGAAACCGGACGTGGAGTTTGAGGACGTAGCCGGCAGGCGCCAGGGGAGAGAAGGGGAGGTTGCGGTGTGGGGTAGCTTGCCGCGACCGCGGAGAGGACCATGAGAGTAGCCGAAACTGAGATTAGGTTGTACGAAAGGTGATGACAATTGCGTCTTGGTGTTTCCCACTTCGTACTAAGGTTCTGAAAGCCTTATCTACCAGTTCACATGGTAATTGAGGGGTTGTCGGAGAACTGGGGCGAAGGTCTTCGACTTACGGTGCTCTAGGTGGAGTTTGGGGCTTTGACGTTCTGACGCCATGGAGAGTTTCACAGCTACCATCATGTGCGGCAACATTCAGTCTTGGTAATACAGATAGTGATAAAGGAACTCTGAGGTCGCGAGCTTAAGGCTTCGTCCGAATGTGTGGGGGGCTTGTGGTGCTTCGGGGTTTACGAGGGCAGGCCTACGAAGCACGCTCACCCTGATCCTCCCCGACCGTTCGGCCGGCAAACAAGGATCGATGACGCCGCGCTGAACACTGCGCTGTCAGCTTCTCAAAACTTGCGGGGTCGTTTTGTTTGGGTTGAGTCTCCTGTGGCCCCATGTGAGGCCCTTGCAAGCAGACCGACACCTTCGATTTTAGCTTGCTTGTGTGGCTGCTAAGTGGGACAAGGGCGCAGAGCTAGGATGATCGGCCCAGGCGATAGAGGTGCCTGGCCTGCGATGGCAAAATGCGCATGTGACATGAAAAGATGCCCATGGACAATTCAGGAAGATCCTTAAAAGCCTAAGTAATAAAGCGACAAAGCGAAACCTGGCAAACTCCTTCACTGCCATTATACATTGCCCTGTGAGGGCCTTCTGAAAATCCTCGACTGCAAGATGAACGAGACCTGATCCCGAAATGCCATAGTCGCAGACCCTGCAACCTCAAGCCCTGTGACGCAGGCCTTCTTCCTCATACCTTCAGCTCGGTCCTAGACATGACTTCTGCAGCCCCCCGAAATCATACCCGACTCCCGTATAAAAGGTTCTGCACAGCCTCTAGGCCCAGTGCTCGTACGAACAGGTTCTTCACAGTCAAGCCCAGCGAGCTGCGAATTCTCTCGGTTCTCGGTGCTGGTGCCCATGCAAACGTTTACAAGGCAGGACAGGTACACCATATTACATGTATCTTACCATCGAGAGAGCTTGGTCCCAGAGACATGCCAGAAAGAACAAAAGCGGATGCTTGGCAGCTTACGGATCAGCATCGAGTGGAGCGATTGAGGGTCTCGAGCTTGGCATTGCGAGTTTAGGGTTAGGGCTTTCGGACTGCCTTACTGCTCGGGACGCACTGAACGACGATAAGGTTCTGAATAGAGGTCTGCCAGCCAGCCATTGTCAAGGGCACCTGAACACTGAAAGCTTGAACCTCTGAGCCCCGACCCATCCCTAAATTGTATTACAAAACCCTAAATAATTAACTATACTGTTTTGGGGGTTCCTTATTATGATTATAGTATAATGGGGCCCAAAACCCTATTCTAATTATTAAGGCCCCTACAGTAGACTCTATCGTAGACAAGGGACCGGCAGTCCCTGGACGAGCGATCGCCGATTGTCTGCCACTTCGCATCAGGCGGAGTGGACCCGCACTTTTGCTGCTGGCACAAGCTCCATAATTGTGGCCGGGGTCCTCAGTGCTTTCAACGAAAACGGCTCTCTTTGCCGTTCCAGGCTGGGTTTTTACAGCCTATATGCGAATACTATCGTGATTGCCAAACTACCTTCCCACAGCATGTCATGGCAGTCTGCGAAGCGCATGAGGCTGTAAAGCAGATGCACACGGATCTTGGTGAATCCGGCTCATTGCTGATCGCCCGCAGCAGTGCTTGGGTTTCTGGTGCAATCTATAACCTGGTCTTCAATGGTCAGGGTGCGTATCGTTTCCAGCCTGAAGCTCAACTTAGCCATCCATCGACCCAGCCAGAAGAGACGTTCAAGAAGCCAGCTTGCGTCGACCGTCAAAAAGACCCGCCCCCAAGTTCAATGTTGGGCGTCTGGCCTATGCCAAACCAGCATATGCTCTAGAGCAACCCCCCGAATCCAAGCATGCTTCATTCCGTGGCTGGAATCTAGAAGTTCTTTGCTTCTGTTTGAACCCCAAACCGTGAACCTGTGTAAAGCTGCGAAGTAAGCCTTACGCCCAGGAAATGTAGACGTTGAGTGCCAAGCCATAAATCTCAACTTGTGGCAGGTGAAGTCTACAGGAATAGAGAACGGCTCACAATGCTGACGGACCGACCGCGTGCACGCGCAAGCGCCGTGTGTCTTAGTTTTGGCATGATGTTGTCTTCAGCTCGCATGGAACTATGTATGTAACACACCCAGGAATAGAAGGATAGTACGGTTCAGAGTTCAGCAACGGGGACGACACAGATAAGGAGCAGGAATGAATACTTCGACCACACAAGGCAGTACACTCAAGCAACTAGACCCCGTAAACCTTCTGAGCGCTGGAAACCCTACCAATCTTCCAGACTGCATTAACGGTATTATTATACACCCCATATACCCTCAAACCACTTCACGCCGGAGGTGCAAGCCCTGTCATCTAGAGTCACTCAGGAGATCGAGTTTCCAAGTCTTAAAATCCTAGCAAGTCCTGCAGCCCGCAAGCTAGACCCAAAAGCCTTAAGCTCTGAACCTGGCAGGATCCTAAATTAAGTCCACAAGCTCCTCTGGGCCTCTTTGGAATTCCTGTCAGGAGCATCCCAACCTCGTCAAGTGCGTGGATTCGACGTTTGGGCTCTCAGGTAGGGGAGGCTTTGGGCTTTCGGGGTTGGGTTTGGAGTTTGGGGCTTACAGTTGAAGGCTTAGCCTTTGGGTTTTTGGTTGAGGAACCTTGATTTAGAGCCCATGCAGCCCCCAACTTTTCTAGACCCATCTAGACCCATACCTCGTGCTAGGTCGGATTCCGTTAGACCATGCCCAAGACGTGGAAGCCGATAGAGCTTCAAAGTCCTGAGGGACCAAAGCCATTGCGCCGATCCCCCAAAGGCTGTGTTGCCCTTAAGCCCCGAGTGTAGGGTTGGTGTTCCCGCAGTCTGAAGCCTTCCGATCAACCTCACCGAGGTTGGAACCTCCGTACCTGATCATCACCGAGTTCTTAGCAGGCGGGATATCTGAACATTGCTGAATCCCATGTTGATGGCAGATGACCAAAGTTCTGCAATTTTCCACATAAAGGGCTATGCTTGAGTGCCCTATCACCGCAACTGTTCTATGAGACTGAAGTTGTTTAACCAGTAGCTGTAGCAGTAGTAGTAGCAGTAGCAAGCAAACCCTGAAACCCGACCCCAAACCCAACATCTGCTGGCATTCAGGGGTCTACAGGGCTCAGCGTCTATGGGTTTTAGAGGTCTTTCGGAGTTTCAGGCTCTGCAGCTCGCTCAGACAATCCAGAAACTTCGAGACTCGCCGTAGATGCTGATCCCTGAGCCAAAATACACCCAGACCCTACATTGGCCCGACATCCTCAACCGCAAGGACCGTACATCCTAAACTCGCAAAGCCCTGCACCCTAAACTTTCATTCCTGAACCGGAAACCTAAAACACACCATTGCACTCTCAGCAAATCCCAAGAGCCTTAAAGCCTATGGCCGAAACCGGAAACCCGACACTTCAGGAGGGAGCCTTTTCGACCTCCTTTACAACAGCCACTTGGCTCCTGCTTGTGAAAAGGGTCTGTGGGAGGCTGACGGACGCGAAGCCACCTGTCAGCGGCAGGCAGTGTAGAGCCGGAGCCTGTGAGTTTCGTGTTTAGAGTCTACGGGTCGTAGTCGTCGTAGTAGTCGTGGTGGTCTTGGTGGTCGTGACGGTTGTGATCGTGGTGTGGTCGTCGTCACCGATCGCGGTCGCGCTCGTCGTCGACACCTCAAGCTAGGAAATTCAAGCCGTCAGGCAAGAAAACCTGAAGTCACCGCATTTGCAGGCTTCCGCTGAATGCTCAATCCTCTAGTCTGAGCCTCAACGCCACTCACTAAACTAGGCCATAAGCACCTGAAGCTTTAAGCCGTATGCACCCGAAACCCTGAATCCCAATCCTAAAACCTCCTGAGCCCTGAATCCTAAAAGGGCCCTCAAAAAGAAAACAACCCTTTGGACCCTGCCCCGAGGTGACCAAGAACTGTCCCTGTGGCAGCAGGTCAAGGTCGTTCGGGGCGTCATTTGTTTAAAGGGTTGAGTGTTTGGAGGTTTTTTGGTTTAGAGTTCAGGATTAATATTCAGGGAATTTGGCTTGTTGGGTGTCTAGGGTATAGTGGTTCTGTGTTCAGGGCTGATCTTGCCTAGCTCTGCTGTCAGCGCTTGCACAGGGGTTGGGGTTTAGGGGTCTACCCCGAGTTAGCCCGCTGCGGGGTCATTACTATTAATTAACCCGTTTGAGCGATCCAAGAAGCCACGAGAATGTAAAAGCACACACACACACACTATATATATATATATATATATATATATATATACACACATACATTGCGATTTGCGGTCGTAGTCACTCTGGGTTTTAGAGTTCATGATGCTTGGAAGTAGCATGTTCGTGGGATTGGTCAGCAAGGCTAGACGAAGTTATTTCAAGGCAGAACGGTTCGGGGTGCTTCGACGGCGAGGCAATTCGATGCGCCTTTCCAAAGTGTTCCTTGCCTGCTCCGGAACTCTCGAGTTGACGGTTTAGGGCCCGGTCAAGCACCAAGGCACCGTTTCGCCTGGGAAACGGGCCTTTTGACCCTAATCTCACTAAACCCTCCACTCTTCGGCCGCTTAGAGCCATCAACTCCTGAACCTACAACTTGAAACCTTAAATCTGAACCCAAAACCTGAACCCTAAGCCATAAACCCAAACCCTTAATCTGTAAACCTTAAACTCCTAAGCCCAACCCTGGTGCCAGATACTTCTGGATGTGGCTTCCGGAATGAAGTGCCCTGGGCCACCATGCAGTCGGTTTCCACAGCTACAAGTATGAAGCAGATGTAGACAAGTATAGCAGTAATGGTAGCCAGTGTAGAGAAGCGCAAATATCATATCAGGATCAATAACAGTGGCGCAGTCCATGGGAGAGTCGCAGCATGAGACAACTTGTCGGAGATCCTCTGAGCCCTAAGCCCTATAAGCACTATGGCCTTGTAATCCTTGTGCCTCAAAGCCTAGCACGAGACTTGGCTGTGACAGCACGAAGTTGGCTTGTCTGTCTTTCGGGTGGGAATCGCGTCAGAAATATCTCGGCGGGGCTGTATGATAGTTTGCCGTGCTCCCGTCTGTGCACACATCAGGGGTTCTCGTTTGAAGAGCCTCACGCGTAAACCTCGAGGCCCAGCCCACCTGTATCGGAGTGATGAAGCCCGAATCTACAAAGTCTCAAAGTCTTTTTCGCTGCGCGCCTAAGCTTTGGATTGTGGAGACCTGGACGCCCGCAAGCCCAAAGCCTCTAAGCCCCAGCACACCCTCCGCACGCTGTGCCTGGGACAATGAACCCGAAGAGTGAAACCGAAGTGCTGAAGCCGAAGTAGGATGCAAGTCAGACCCTTGCCTCAAGTCTCAGACCCTTTACACCTTCTAGACCTGACCCTAACCTTCAAACGCCAAAGCCTCAAGGCTTTGGCCATCTCACAACTCCCATCTCGAAATCGCGAAGCCCCTCAGCCCTGCAGCAAGCCTCATAGTCTAAAGCCATAAATGCGCTGCCATGGCCCTGGGAAAGTGGAGCCTGGAAGTGCTGCAGAACAGCCGAGCTTTGTGGCCCAGCACAGATATTCGGCAAGCTCGGGACCTCAATATGGAATGCTTTGTACTGTAAAGAAGCACCCTTATGGCAAGGGCCCCGTAAGTTCGAAAAGCTCCCGTCCATGATCAGGAGGCTGAATGTGCATATTCAATTATTTCGTAGCTCACGGCGTGGAATAACGCCGCGTCAGGAATAAGGAAAGCTTCTATTGTCCCTGGCAGTCTCCGTTTCAAGGCCCGCATCACGTGCGTCGAAGTCAGGAACCTCTAACCTCAAGCCCTGAATTGTAAGCCCAAGGCCCTGAACCGGCAAGAGAAGATTTTTCGCGGCCAATGCAGGTTCCAGCGGAGACGGAATCGAGAGCCGCCGCTCCGTTTTGCACATACTACGTAGTGCTTGGGTCGAAGGGGTTTGGGCTGCGGTTTTTTGGATGACAGAACTCAGTCTGTGAGCCCTAAAACCCTGAGCCCCAGAATTCCTCTGAGCCCTGGAGTCCTGAACGTACAGGAACACTGATGTGAGACTTATTTTCAATCGACTCGACTCATGGGGCAGGTCAGGCTAAGGGCATCTAACTCCCCCAAGGCGGCGAGTGTTTAGGTGCAACTTCAGGGTCCACGGCAGACTATGTAAGGTCAGTCCCATGAACTCTTAAGAAGTTTCCTTCATCCTGTTTAAGTTTTAGTAGCAGAGCCAACGTGTAGCGTGCGAAGATACTTGGATGTTGCTTTCGATGGCAGAATTGGGAAGGAACAGGACCCCTCCCCGCCCTCCCCCTTAACAAACAAAATGATTGCAATTGATACGAATTCTGAAAATTTGCTGACTGAGGGGCCTCTAAAAATAAAAAGAGCCCAGAAGTGTAATCAAACGGCCTTATCATTATAGTACAGTGGGTCCCAGAACTATTCAAAATATTAAGGCCCCTAAATTAGGGTTCTACTCTGAAGTAGATCCGAGGCCAGAGCCCACCGAGCCATCAGAGAGGGATGCGCCGCACTGGCACTGCTGTCAGGCAGCTCCCGGATCCGGACAAGACGGCGGTTTAGGGCCCATTTTCGGGTCTTGGGGGAGGGGTTTAGGGTTGTAGGGGCTGTAGGGCTTTGAGGTCTACAGTTTAGGGTTGTAGGGCTTTCGGGTTTCGGGTTCCGGAGGTTCTTGGGGTAGAGGTTTGTTTTAAAGCCTGGGCCTTGCGACTCTCTCGCCGCAATCAGTAGTCATGCTTATCTAGACTCTAGGCCTTAAGCTCTAAATCCGAAACCCTACACTCTAAACCCTAATAGAAGGAGGCCCTTATAAAGCAAAAAACCTAGAACCCCTTTAGAAGTGTGGTGTAAGACTTTGCCAGAGCACAAGTTCGACTCTGGCGGTCTCGGTGGGGTGCAATGTCCCAGATCTGAGGGTTGATACGGGGCTTCGGATATATCACTATGGCAGTCGCCAGGGGTTTGGGGATTTGCAGTTCATTGTTGCATGCAATGAAGTTCCAGTTTGTTTTGTATTTCGGTTGGTGGTTTTGTTTTGCAGGGGTACAGGGCCGCAGGAACGTCATCCGGCTTGAGCTTCTGTGTCAGGTCAGCAAATATTGCCGCCGCCGTGCTTGCGCCCTCTTGGGCTTCATCATCGTGGCGTTGAGGATACAGCCGGGGCCCTGTGCGAGCGCTCGTGATGCACACTTGCTGTGAACAATGAACGCTTCGCGCCGAATCCTAAAGCCCACAACCCATAACCTTCAGTGCTAAGTCACAAGCCCTAACACACTTCATCGCAGCCATAAGGGTCCGGATTCGTGGAATCATCGTTTAAACTGTATAGTGTCATGCGGATTCGAAATTCTGGAGTTGTGCCGACGATGAGATTTTGAGCTTCACCTGCAGTCAATTGACGTCCCATCATGCTACATACCATTGCATAGCTCATTTAGGGCAGCAGGAGCATCGCTACCTGCGACATGGCGATGTGGCGCAGCTGGCTCACCTTAGCTGCTTTCAGCTACAGTGCTGCAGCCAATGCTGTCATGTTCTTTGATTTCGTGGTGCTCAGCGATCTCAGTGCCCACATATTTGATGTCGACGTCGGTGACATCGCCATGACATACAGTCTAGGCCTCTTCACAACTTTGCCAGCCGCATTCGTGGTGGCATACTTCTTGCCACGACAAAGCTATTATGTGTTTGGTGCAGGTACGTTTTTCAACACAGTCGGTGCGTGGCTACGATGGCTTAGTACCGTCCAGGGCAACTGGGCGATGTGTATGGCCTCAACTGTGTGTGCTGGAGTGGCCTTCGCCGTGTGCTGCATGTCTTATGCGGTCGTGGGGGAGCGCTGGTTTCCGCCTGAGCTGCAGATCTTGGCCACTAGTATTGGTGTCCAGGCGAACTATGCGGGTGCCTGTTTGAGTGCATTTTTGAAGCCGACAGTAGTGCAAGAGCGGCAAGATCTGGAGCAGTTCCTGCTCTGGCAGGCCGTTGCAGTGACGGTCGCCATAGTGCTTTTTGTGCTTTTGCACGATGAGAGTGCGGGCAAAGCTTTGCCGGAAGAGATACCGTCTGTGAGGAGAAACCTCCGGAGTCTCTGCAGGCACCCAAGGTTCTTCATGAAGATGGCCTGCTATGCAACCCTGGGTGCTGTAAGCTACACAATACCTGCGGTCCAGGATGTCTTGATTTCGGAAACGCTGGATGCCACTCCAGCCTTCACCAAGTGGACAGATGCGTCCTTCATCGCCATCGGCGTCGTCTCTGGAATGGTACTTTCTGCTCGAGAGGTTCGGAATCCAGATCGGCTCATTCTGCGCACCTTCCTTGCGGCCTCTTTGGGCCTCGTAGCAGCTTCGCTTATCGTGTCCCCTCTCATGGCTTCCACCAGCCTGGCCCTCAGACGCGGTTCTCTCGTTGCCGCCATGGCTTTGGTCGGCGGCGCATCCTTGGGATTTCTTGGCGTGGCCCTAGCACACATCTGCCACGAGGTTCCCGAGGTACATGAGTCCATCAGTGCTGGTGCCGTCGAGTGGTTTGTTCAGGCTGGAGGGGCCCTACTCACATTCGTCGCTGTCAACCGGCATGGTTTTGAAATCTGTGGCGCCTTGGTGGTTGCTGCCACGGGCATTTTGATCATCGATTTCATTCTGGCACTGAAACATAGGAAAGCATCTGGCTCTCAATTGCCCCTCGATTGCCCCGAAATGAGTGGGGAGACGAGTGGAGAGATGAAGGAAGAGGAGACCGAGTCGAGTGCAGAGCTCTAGACATATCACCGCAGTTTTAAGTTTCGGTCTTCCTCGGCTCTAGAGCAGAGAAGCTCGGTCTCGGGAGTGTCACGATGTGCGAGTTGCAGAAATCAGGGACACTGAGGCAGTCTAGACCTTGCACGATTCGACGCACGTTCCTGGCTTAGAATTGCACTTGAAAGCCGTTTCATAACCTTGTTGTTTCTCTGCTGAGGGCTTGCATTTCCAATGCAGAGATCTTAACCACTAAGTCCCAAATCCTACCCTAAACCTCAAGCCCAAGTAGAAGGGTCCTGATCTTCGAAAACCTCCTGAGAGATGCCGCACAAGCCCACAGTGTCCCAAGTGGCCTGAGACATCTTGATACCTTGTCGACCCAACTTCGTATATGAGGAGTATGTATCGTCCAACGGAGAACATAGTCCTGCAACCTAGCGGTGCTGCGGCCTCAAAAGGACCGGGCTCCATTTGCAAGTAGGTACGAAACTCGAGCACATCTCCTGGTTGCCGGGAGCGTCATTAAATCGCACACGAACCCCCCGAACTTCGAACACATAACCGAAGCCCTAAACCTTGAAGCCTTTACACCCTGGTCCCAGATATCTGCACGGGCGTGCTGCCCTCCTCTCGCGGAGGGCGGTGATCACCTGCGCCGACATGACGAGCTTACGCTCTGCTTTGGAGATGCTCAACTGCATGTGTCCTGTAAACCTCAATGCAGATCCCAGATGAAGCACCCGTCACTGTTTTGAAAGGCGGACTATACTAGGATCTCTATGCTGGTCGTAGTGGGAGTTGAGTTCTGTTGGCTAATCAAAGGTTTAAAGCGTGACATTTCTGCCAAGACCTAGATGCTAAACTCTCTGGAGGATCGGCGACATGGTGTCAATTACATTCTTTTTTCTGCGCGCATTGTGTGACTTACCGACTGCCATTTTGTTCAGCATTGTGTGTTCGTCATTCCTGGTCCACATGTTGCTTGGCTTGTACAAGGCCCGCGGCTGGTACACACTCCGCTGCTATTCATGCGCATTCCGCCAGCTTTTTGGGGGGGGGGTGCCGAGGGTCTGGGTGCAACGTCATGATGAACTCGTCCCTGGATCCTTGCCCCGATCCCGATCTTCTCAGCACTTAGCCATCGTTCTTGGGCCATCCCCGAACGTAGACGCCCCCTCGACCATGTCCAGAAAGCCAATAGTTGATCCCGGGCACACCTGTTCCCCAAGTCGTGGATGGAGGGTCCGTGGAGTGGGGTTGGGGCGGATGTGTTTGCGAGGCAGACATTCCTCTTGCATAGCAACGAAGGCTTTTAGCCTAGCCATGACGCGATCATGGCACAACTCCATTTAGATATTTGCTGGCACTTGGCTACAGTGGGTTCTGTGGCGCTCGCCCTTGTAGCGACAAGACAAGACTTAAGAGCGTCCGTGCTTGGCGCGGCTTCAGATCTTCGACAGAAATTTCAGCGGGACTGCGCTCCAGAGAGCACGAAATAGGTGTATCGTCTGGGATGGATCCAGTATGTTTCAAGAATTCAAGCGACAAGCCAAACTGATACGCTGTTGTCCTTGGACCTGTCGCTCGCCATATACCAATACTATCCCTTACGGCCTGCCGGTCTGTTCACCAGACGCAGCCCTTGTGTAGCCGTGCTTTTCCAATAAGGCCCTTCGGATGCCCCAAAACCCAGGACGGCCAATTCCAGCAACTGGCCTCGCTTCATGCAGGAGCATTCGGGTGGCGCTCGGGGTCGCAGGTGACATCTGGGATTTTAGATTGCCGTTCGTGTCTACCTTGAGCTATGGAGGCTCAGGCTTTAAGGGTATAGCGGGGTTTGAGTTGGAGTTCAGGGTCGAGGGCGTTCGGGGTTTGGTATGGTTATGAGTTCAGGGCTTTACTTACAGAAGTTGTTTTCGCGCGTGCATGGGAATTTGTTGACACCAGCCTGAATCCTCCAACCCTATAAAGGTAAAGCGAACTCTATGCCAGTCGAATATCATGGAGCCTCAACGCCATCAATCCTAATCCTGACAGCCAGAGGCCTTGGACCCTAAACTCTGTACAGTACCTGATCCCTTACCCCAGGCCCTTGTCCTGCAACTTCGAATTGAACCTCCAACCCTCACCCTCACTCTACAATCCTCAAAGCCCCAACCCTGGTTTTCCCTGAGCCAAGCCCTAACCTCGCTCGCCCCCCGTCAAATCTAAACCCCTGAACCCCTAAACCCCCAAACCCTAACCCCTAAACCCCCAAACCCCCAAACCCCTAAACCCTAAACCCCTGAAACCCCTGAACCCCTACGCCTACACCCTAATCCCAATGTCACGAAAGCTAGCTCTGTTGAGCTCGCGGGAGTTGCCCTTTAGCAATTTTCACTTGGTCTACCTTGTATTAAGGCACTAGGGCAAAACCAGGGTTTACACCTTATCAGGTGGGACGTCCAAGAGTTAAGGTGGGGGGGTGGGGGGGAGGAGGGGCCGCCCCCCCCCCTCACCTCGCTCATGAAGCATTTTGAAGAGACAAGGTGTGGTTTCCCCCCCGCCTCCCCCCACCTTTAAGGTTGCGGCGCGTGGGACAAGGTGGGGGGGGGGGGCTCCCCCCCCCCCCCTACCCACAGGTCCCCTCCTTCCACAAGGTCCCTGAGCTTGCTTGTGTTTGAAGTTTGTCGTTTGCGCTGCGTCTTGGCTCCAGTTCTTTTTGGTCCTTCGCAGTGTCGTTCGACAGTACTCTCATGTCACATGTGTCCCCCGCCTTGCTCAGCCCCAATTGCTCGCAGCTACGCTTCCTCTCCCCTAGCTTTCGTGGCCCTCTTCTCAAGTAAGCCTCTTGAAGGATGCGGACAATGCCACGGAAGAGCGCTGCAGGGACCTGGGGCCAGACCAGGAGCTAATGCTGCTACTTTTTTATGCGCATGCACATAAAAAGTAGCAGCACAATGTCCAGAGTTATAGCAACTATGTCTTTAAATGAGCTGCTAGATGCATGTGGTTGCTTTTATCAGCGTTATCGTAGTTTTTGTGATGTTTGGTGCCGTTCTCACTGCAGGAGGGACTGTTGCGTGGGATGTCAATGGGTGGCTAATCATGATCAACTTGACGGCGTAATCACTACGACGCATGATATTAGCTGGTGCTGACTACCGCTAGTTTGATGGCGATTGCAGTTTTTGACGTTTCCACATGTTACTCCATTCGGTGCCTTTGTCACCTACGGTTGAGCTTTGGTGGACTTGGCCTGTGGAGTGGTGGGCGGAGGCTGCCAGGGTGTGGTTCCAGCATGATGGAAACATGGGAACGTTGGAAGCAGCAGCTGTCGTAACCAGCGGCAAGAGTGACAACCAAGAGCAAGGACGACAGTACCTTCGACGGACTCAATCCTGCATTATGCCTGAACAGGAATTTGGCACGATTGGTACTTAGTGCACCAATGGCTGTATCAAAGGGAGACTCGATTCGCCGGGCCGTGCACCAGAAACCTCTAATCACCTGAGCCCTAAAGCCAAAACCCTAAAAGCCTGAAGCATCAACCACTTACATGTTTGTTTCCTCTTCCCCACATGGCTCTTCTTATTGTCTTAGTTGTGTTTTTCGACGAGTTTCTGTCAAAAAAAGTCTCGGGCTCTCCGGGCCGAGCAGCTCTGAAGGAGCTCGAGGAGCCTCTTGGAGCGGGTGCCGGCAGCGCCTGGGACCATGGACCTTTCACCTCGCTTGTGTGCTGTTGTTGTGATCGCTAGGCTCAGGGGTTCCAGGCTTTACGGTCTTAGGGCCTTAGGGTTTGGGAGGCAGTCTCGGTACTAACTACGCACCCTAAAGCTAATCCTGAAGATTCGACTGTATCCTTGAAGGTCTCGTCGACCACTTTTCCACAGAGATGAACCTTGGTCAACGTTACAGATCCCTTTTGCTTTTTCTTGGCTGGGGTTCTTCTTTAAGCGAGTCCGTAAAGAAGGTGTTCCTGCTAGCACTGGGATCAAGGAACAAGCTGCTGCCGCCTCAGTATCGCTTCGACATCATCACGCTCGTCTTGGTGCGGCTGGGCTAAGGACAAGGTGCAGATTCTGAGTTTTTAGGTCCTTGAGATCCCCCTAAACCCTAAACCCTAAACCGCGTCTTTGACGGAATCGCACACCGGCTTCCATGTCATGGCTGCTCTCGGCATACACCAACGACGAGTATGACGACGACATCTGTTACTTGGGGTTTAGGGTTTGGGGTTGAGGGGAGGGCCTGTTCTTGCAGGCTTTTGTGCTTGGGCCTTCAGGCCTTGCGTCTTCGGTTGCTTGGTTGCCGGTGGTTCCGGCAAAGGCGGAGTCCATGTCCCTATGTATTATGTATACAGTATACACACATACACCCATATTGTAATCAGCCATGAGTAGGTGAGCAGTGAGCTTCATCTCGTAGTCGCAGGGGATTGAAGGATATGTTTTTGTCACCAACATGATCGCGCCTAAGGACAGTCGCTTTCTTGTATCTGGTACAGACCAGTGACTTGGGCGCTGAAGTGGGCTTCCATAGACGGGAGATGCCAAAAGTCTAGGAGCCAAAACAGGTCGTGTAGGACTTGGAAGCAGCATATAAAACAACCCAAAGTCGTTCAACAACTTCCGCGGTTGCTTCCGCAGTTCTTGCACCGCAAACCGTGAGCCGCATTCCCTAACTTTATCCCGTCAAGTCCTTCAGCCTGCAGCTGTACATCCGACCCGCAGTCAGAAGTGGTATTCAATGACCCAATGACACGACCAGCCGCAACTTCGGACGCGATCTGTTTTGGAAGTTGTCTTGCAGCTCTGAAAGCTTTCAGAATTGAGCCGTCTATGTTGCAATGAAGACAAGACGTCCTGTCGAATCCTTAGATTGGAGCTTGATTATCGTTGGGGTTCCAGTATTACCGGAACACGCAACTCACTAACTCGAACATTGAGACTGCACTAACACACACATGTATGTATATGTAAGAAGCTGTTTGTGTGTTTGAATGGATGTAGGTAGGTAGGTATGTAATTCTGTCTGTCTGTTATATACGCATGTGCATACAAATATGCACCCCAAATCGCAGGATCCTCATCCTGCGAAGGCGAAGAGCTAGAGTCTGAAGTCCTGCAGAGTCCCCCGGTGTACAACAAAGCCTTAAAGTGACGGGCGAAATCGACAAACGAAAGCCCCGGAGGCCCGGCAGCCCCGCAACATATATATATATATATATATATATATTTAAATTATATATATATACAGATACATATATACATATATACATATATCGTATGTATGTATTTATATTTATATATGTTTAAGATAATACACCCCGAGAGCTTCAATTATTGCAATTAGTACAAGCTGAAATCTTTGCCCAAGGTGACGAGCGTCCGACGCCCCGTGCCCGTCGTAGCCACTCCTTCGCCCTTTCTACACTGACGGAGTCCCTGGCCCTGTCGGCGGTGGCAGAGACCCAGGACTGTCAGATTTCTTAATGATCTCCATAATTGCTAGGTTAACCAACTATCCAAGTCCATGACTAGGGAAAAACAGAAGTGGATGTGTTGGACAGAGGTAGGAGTTTGGGGGTCCAGGGATTTTCAACGCTGGTACTTTACCACTAGCCCGTGCTCACATTGAGAGTGAGTGTTTATGCAATGCATATACTTTCTGCCGCGTGCATCGGAAAAAGGCAGCCCCAGAGCAACAAGCCAGCAGCGCCAGCATACAAGTCACATGATGCTGAGCCCCTCAGTCGAGCCACGGGGTCCCTATCATATCGGAATCCCCGGTGCAGCAACACATTGCAAGTGTGTATAAGAGCATAAATCATGTATGTACGTATGTATACATATATCTATATATATATATATACATATGTATATGCTCGGATGTATAGATGTACGCGTAATGAACTGTCGGCATCCTTCGTTTGACTAGATCTCGCCCTGCAGGAGTCTAAAGCAGTGAAGCGACTACAAGCAGCATATTTCGACCTCGTCTGCCGCATGCGCCCAGATCGATCGGGCAATTTCCAAGTCGGTGTCTGGACTGCATGGCATTGTGTGGTACCAGGGAGGTAAGATACAGTCAGCATAATACAGCAGTCCCCCTGCAGTGCAAATAGTATGCTATAAGTGGGCTACACGGCCAGGTGAGATGTGCATCTGATTACTCTGCCCGAGTCAATTATTCGGTTCTCTAGCGTTTCCCAGGCAAACAGGTGACAGGTGTATTTTCTTGGAGCTCGGCAGAATGTGCCCATGGAGTCCGAGCGACAACGAGGGACGTTTCTAAGAGGAATTCCTGACTTATATGTCCTGGACCTACATGATGTTAGGGTTGTAATGGGCTGGAGCAGTGTGCATAACACGTCGCAGCACTCCGGGCCATCTAGGGTCCTTGCTGGTCCCGTCGAAGGCGCGCTGCCCCATCAGCCTGCGCTGCCGGAGCATGCCGAGCACCTGGAGGCGAGGAATGCCACCATCTTCGTCAAGTCATTGCTGTATTGGCTGTCAGACAGTTACAGTCTGTTTGCGATTGTTGCCAGGCTTGTATAGTTCCTGTTGGTGATGATGATGATGATGATGATTATTTGATGGTCATGCTGATGATAATGTCTGTGTTGTGTTGCTTGTAGCTGGGTGTTAATGGGGCTTCTTTTTCATCTTTGTTGAGGCATAAAACCACGGGGGCTACTAAACATAGTCATCTTTGTTCTGGGTCCAAGGCTGTTGCTGGCTATGAGCTATGGGTATGAACTGCAGGAGTAGGAAGTGGGGGAGAAGTCTTCTCCTTGTCCTTGTCATGGTCGTCCTTGTGTTGGTCATTGTTGTTTTCAATGATGAATCCCTTTTAAAGTCGGACTTTCGTTTTGCGAGCACGCGGGCCCTCCAGCTCGTCGCAGGTAAAAGCGGCCAAGCCGGTGCGCCTCCTCTTTCTGCACGCCTCGCCCCTCTGCGTACTCACGCGTGGGCCGAATGGGCAGTCGAAGTACGCCCCCCTGCCGCGGCTGAAGATCGACCGCGAGGCAGAAAAGGGGAGTTCCTTCTTGACTTTTGCCGCTTTTGGAGCCTACTTGTGGAATCTCCAGTGCTTGCGAAAGTCAGACTGAGCGATTGACAGATTGATGCCTTCCATGTTAGCGGATCATTGCTGAAGCAGTAGTAGCAGGAAGAAGAGTTGGCTTACAGCTAAGACGATGATACTACACAGCTGCTGTTGCAGGGACTGTAAGACTGATCGCAGATTTGTCATAAAAGCTGCGATCTGTCACTGAAACAATAACAGCGACCTGGCAAGTCGTTCGGAGAAGTCATTTCCGGAATACGATACCATGTAGTGGCCACTGGTATCTGGCAGCCTTCTCAAAACCAGCGGTACCGGCAATAGCTGCTAGCTAGCCTTTGCTGGAGACATGTTCAATAAATAGTTAGCAGTACTTCGAAATGCAGAGTCGAAGAGTCCCAACGACCAAGACAACAGTTACTCCTAGGCCTAGAGGCAATGACATTTCCTCCAGAGTCAATGTTGGATTGTAGGTCATCGGCAGCTGCCATAGTTGTGCCTTGAGTCTACCTTGAGTCTTAACATAACTCCGGGCAGCATTTTTTTTATTTTCCGGCTCCGTGACTGCAGTGCAGGTCCACGCCGTACGCGAAGCATTGCAAGGAGCCATCGACGTGAAGGTGAGGGAATCTTTGGATCGGCTTGCACGCTGGGGCTCAATACTTTTCTTCGTGTTCAGGTCCACAGTTCTAGATTCAGGATCGTGCTAAGCTCCAACCCATACAGCCCACACCCCGAGGCCCATGTGTGCTATTATATGTACTTACCAGATCGTCGATCGCCTAAGCAAACACATGTCAGAAATAACAGTTGAGCTATTTTTGACCTTTCTGCCTCCAGAACATTGCGTTTAGTGCGGGGCCAGTGATCATCTGAATGGAGGCTCCAGCGACTATGGGTATGTAACATAGTATGCACATGTTTCATGAGTGCTACCCTGGGCGCTCAGGCTTTAGGCTATTTTCTTCAGGGGTTGATTGAGGGGGAACGCAGGTGAAGACCGCCTCCATCCACAATCTCCGCAAGGCGGTCACAGAAGGACATTCTTCGGCAGGGAGGGAGCAACTTGGGGCCCAATAGAGCTTCGGAATTGGGGGTTCCGTGTCCGGCAGGCATCTCATGTTCTCCCTGGAAAGGAAATCTTTGGCTCCACCTTTCTGCGCATACCGCCAACGAGAGCACCTTGGTGCTTGAGGCCGGCTGGGGTTTGTGTTGGGGCTGTACAGGTTCTTCAATGATATAATAGGGGCCCCAATAAGATTTTTGTAAGGTTCTGGTATAATTGAAACTCTTCAATGATATAGGGGCCCCAATAATTTCTATAAGGTTCTATAGTATCTTTGAAACTTATGGATATAATCAGGAACCAGCTGTAGGTGGTCTCTGGGGTTGGATGACGAGGGTGCTGGAAGTTGATCTTGATTGGGGTTCCTCTTCGGTATCTACATGTTCGGTCTGACTTTGCAAAGGACCTGCAACGGCCACATCTGCCAGGAGGAGGTCAAGGTGATAATTTGTTGTAATCGCCACAAACACGCGCAAATTGATCCATAGCCTCAGCCTTAGAAAGAACTTTTACAGGGACTTTAAATGAACCCGGACCCTGCACCCCCAAAGCTCAAACCAAACTCCGAACCCTAGAACCTCCACCCTTAAATCCAAAGTAAACTCCAACACACATGCAAGAAAGCCCTGACCCAAAGCGCTCTACCGAAGGACGTAGACGGCAGAGGATTGAAACAGAGTTCAGCTCTCGGATCCCTGGGGTTCAGGGCTTCGTTCGGGTTTCCGCTGATTCGCTGCAATCCAGCAGTCTAAGGTCCTTAACCCGCCGTTCCATTTGAGAGTTTCAGAAGAAGATAGTTAATGTAGAATGTAGAAGCTTTCATAGTGAGATCCTTAGCATAAGGACCCCTAGAAAGCGCTGAGTCCAAACGCTAGTATACCCGCCCAAAGCCAGGAAAACGCGTTTGGAAGTGTAGTTCAAAGCTTTCGCGACTCCCCTGAAGGATGGTTTCGGAGGCACCGAGGTGCGCTGATGACGGGGGTCTGGGGGTGAGGCTTGAGAGGTTTATGGGCCAGCTTGGCGGGGGAAAGGATTTTGGGGGTCTTTGGCCTACAGGTTCAATGAAGTTTTGGGTTTGGGATGTAGGGCTCATCACTTGGATTCTACGGCTGTGCCCAGAGACTGCTCCTAGCATTCCTGCGGATCTTCTGCTGTACTCATGCCAGAGGTGGTTTGCACATTGAAGTAGATTCAAAAAGGTAGGGTATCAGGGTGTTCAGGGTTGTCGGGGCAAGGACAGGCTGACCCCGGAGCTCACCATCTTGTATCCCCCCTACACTTTTTTCTCAGCCAGCCTATTCAATAGAAACAAAGACCCACTCTCCTACAGCGCCAAAACAGAAAGCACCTCCGCCGAAAGCCCAATCCCAAGTACAATTCAAGACAGAGCACCTCCCGACCCAACACCCGCCTCAAAGCACAACGCAGAACCCGCACCTACCTTACCTCACATCCTACATATACCCGGCTCGCATTTCGCCCCTGCAGTTCACAACCAGCCTAACAAAACAACCCTTACATAGCTACAAAGCACAAAGCACCCTGATCCCCACATCCGGGTTTTGCCTCACGGGAAACCTGAACTGTACATACCCAGAACCCGAAAGCCTAGTTAGCCACAACATCGGGGGAAAGCTGCGCCCTAAACCCCAGGCCCCAGATTCTTCAACCCAGGACCCAATCCACTCTTTGAGCGCCGAATCCGACTCAGGCTTCGTAAGCATCCCATAGAAGCCCAGACACCTTAGACGCCAGACAGGCTCTCACCCTGCATGCTTTGGTGCGGCTGCTCCGGAGTGGGGGCACAGATGCGCCGGCTGCCTTCTTCGTGTGCTTCGGCGTTGGGGTTCCAGGCTCAAAGGTCGAGGGCTTCGGGCCTTAGGGTTCAGGGCTTAAGTCTGTATAAATGGATAGAGAAGCTTTTCGAACGTGCGTGCGTCAGAGAGATGGTGTCGGCGCTGTAGGTGTTGCGGGTCTCATGAGGTTTGCGCAGGTTTCTGCATCTCACTGCAGCGATCCCTGGCTCTCCGACTCTAAGCCCTAACCCAGCCTGCAAGCTCGTAGAACAGTTGCTGAATCCAGTGTTTTGTAAAGACAACTATATGAGTATGTTTCCCAAATTTGTATGTAGCTAACCACTTCGTATGCACATATGTATATATATATATACACACACACACGGAGCGAGAGAGAGAGAGAGAGAGAGAGAGAGACGCACCCTTACGCCCTGCAGAAAGAAAGAAAGAGACGCAGGGATATTGGAGTACCTATTATGCAATTCCGACGCAGTCCTGAGAATCCTCTGCGGCGAAGCATAATACAGACCTCAAGCCTCCCACCTCTGAGCGCTAAGTCTAAGAAAACATGCAATTTAGCAGATCCAGCCCACCGTCTCGAACCGTAACATACTACAGTGTATATAATGTGTAAATGACTACATGTATGTGCATTTGTGGAAAGTTGTATGTGTTGCACATACAGTTCACCTTTGTTTTCAACCGGTAGCAGCATGTTGGTGTTAATGTAATGTTTTCTATCTTTTCAGGGCGTTTCTTGGGGTTACCTCTCCAGTGGGATGCTGCTCCTTTAAGGCCTAAACCGAATAGTATTCATAATTGCGTGTAGGGCAAGATGGGCGGAGGGCAAGAAAGAATTCAGCAAAACCTAGTTGCCAAGACCAGTAGCAGGTTGTAACATTTACTGTACTCTTGGGGATCCTTCAGTTCGCTAATCCCTAATATAAAGGGACCGAAATAATAACCAATACCATTTTTGGGGGGTCCTTATTACAATCATTGTATAACATGCCCCAAAAGCCTATTCCAGTTATGAAGGCCCCTCTATCATAGTACTCTTTTTATGGATCCCTGATATATGCTACTTGTTAAGGCCCCTACAGTAAACACCAGGTTCCTGTCGAACTGCCGATCGGACACGCCTCTTCGCACTGTTGGGCACTCTGTTCTGTAGCCGGTGGGTAGTGCAGGTCTTAGGAGCTGGCTCTTCTAAAGGATCGCCGTCTCAACCGTTCGAGCTTGAAGGCTTCGGATGTTTCTCTTTACAATTTTCGTGTGTTGGTCATTGCTTTAACAGCTTATCAGGGTTGGAGGCTTCTGATGTTCGCGGGGTGGTTGCTGGTTGGGGTTGTCGGATTCGTTTCTAACTGTTGTTTTGGGTTGGTTTTTGCGCTTTAGGGTAGGTCTCATTTACACGTCTAGCGCAGCATGTTGCTCGCGTTCTTCACGAAGTCCTGCATCCAAGGCTTGCTGCAGCATTCTACTCCGCCGGCGTGCAGCACATCGTGTACCTCGGCCCCGGCATTCTACATACATTCAGTCTTTGGGGGTTGACCACGAGCCAATAAGGGTAGAAGCGACCGTGAGCGCCAGACCCCTTGTAAACCGTACAGACGCTCTCAAAGGTACACGAATCGAGCTGTCACCGACCACTGCGCCAGCCGCTTTGCCAAGAGCCCCTTGACTCTGATGCATGATGTAGATGATAAACATCCGGAACTTAGTTGGGAGCAGCGCCCAAATCAGTAGCAGGGCTGTACATTGAGCTTTCCCTCGGGATTCACCAAATCCTCCACCCGAGACCCTGCGTCTCACCGCGGAGACAAGTTGAGCTCCCGAGGAGGATGAGTGGAGATCCCGAGGAGGATGAGTGGAGATAGCGAGAGAGGGAGAGAGGGAGAGAGAGAGAGAGAAAGAGAGAGAGAGAGAGAAAGAGAGAGAGAGAGAGAGAGAGAGAGAGGGAAGGGGAACCACAAAGTAAGTTGAATGCCAGAGAGACCGAGACAGACCTGGACCTCAATCCATGAATCGACACTTATAGACTCTAGACTCAACTTTAGACACAACACCGCAGAGACCAAAGACCTAATTCCGCGTAAAGTCATAGGATCCCTAGCCGCGAGGTTTCTACCTTGCCATGGCATGCCGGCGCTCTCTGCGAAATGCCTTCCGCATCGCGCTGTCGGAGGCGGCTGAGAGGTTTGCTAAACCTAGTCAGCGATCGGTGGTCATCAAAGTTTAGAGGTTCTAGCAGCATGCTAGGGTATGGTTTCGGCAGCATTGCGGGCAGTTCTGCCCTTTTCACACTAGCCAGACATACTACCTCTTAGCCCGAGCCCCGCTCAAAGCCTTGAGTAAGCCCTAAACTCCGATAACATAGGTGCCTTATTCTAAATAGTTGTACTATAATATACCACAAAAGCCCTAATTCAAGTTCTTAAGGCCCTACATAACCCTTAAGATCGCTTGCAGACGGAAAAAGGGCCTTCCAAAAACAAAAACATAAACCCTAAACCCTAATTCAAATTCTTAAGGCCCTATATATAACCCTAAACCTTAGTTCACATTCCCAAGGCCCTACATTCTGCCCCCCAGCACCCAGGTCGAAGCCGACCTCGAGGGAGGCGACTCTGGATTTCGCCTCTTCTCGAACGGCGATGTCCTGCTGCAGGTGGGGATTTCTAGGGGTTATAGGGTTTAGGGTTTAAGGGGGAGATTTCCAGGGTTTAGGGTTTGGGGGGGGGATTTCTAGGGGTTACAGGGTTGAGGGTTTAGGGGCGGATTTGTGGGTTATAGGGCCGTCGTTCCAGCTTTGGGAGCTTTTGGGGCTTCGGGGTCCTAGGATATTGTCTTCGGTTTTCGAGCCATCAAGCCCGCAAGAAATGCGCTCACCAATTGGAATCCTAAGCCCTCGACCCCATTGCTCCGGAAGCTAGAGTGAACAGAAGAATTCGGGCATGTTCAGGGTTTCCCGGATCTGGCAGGAAGGTCTTTCGGGTCTTCTGATTTCGACTGCTATCACTTTTATCTTGGGCAGGTGAACTTCTCTCCGTCTCAGTCGCAGTGATGATGATGATGATAATGGTGGTTCTTTAGAAAAAGATAACGATCATCACCTCGGCTACCGCTCATTCTGGTCTTGACAGTAACTGTGTTTTCTGAGATGATGATGGTGACAGCAGAGTGTCTACAGCATAGTGGTATGACTCATATGACCCGTACATTTCCCAGCCGATCCCTATATATCTTGCAGCGAGAGCAGGTTCCTGAAGTTGCTCATCCAGATCTATCCCCGAAGGCCGCGGTCGTGCAGGGTATGGCGAGGGTGGTTGAAAGGTTTGGGGTTTGCGTGAAAGCTAAGGCTTGGGACTTTGCTTGAAGGGGCGAGGGCTAGATCTTCGATGTCATCAGGACATCGGAAGTATTGCTAGTATCAGATTTGGTTTGTGATCTGTACCAGTCGTCTTCCCATCTACGCCGCATCACGGCAAAGCACAGCTGCAACTGCAGAAAAAGGGCTTGCCAGCTTCTTCCTTTACTCCGTGATTCGATGGTGTCTATCTCGGCGATGACATCGGTGATGCCGTGGCGTCACTCAATACAATTATTGCCGCTCTGTACATTGAGCAGATGTCCATGTTCTGCTTGCCGGTGTTTCTGTTCTTTTGTCTCCGTCCGCTGGTACGACGGGTCGGAAGCCACAAGCACCCGCCAGAACTCTAAATCGAGAGTTTCTGAAGTTTTAGGTGCTCTCTAAGGTTTAGCGTAGGGACCCTTGTATATTGCCTTAAACAGACTTGAACCCCAAAGCGCGACATCTAGGTATACAGACAGAGGTTACAAACTCCAAACCCTACAACGAAAGCAAAGCCAACAAAAGCAAAGCCCTATATCCTAAACTCCAAACATTCAAAAAGGGTGCTCCTCGTGCCTTGGCGATTAATCACGGCAGGCCTATGAAAACCTTCCTGGCCCCGTGGAAGACTTTGTTGGCCGCGAGGAGAACTTCCGGGTAGCAGTTAAATGGTTGAGGGCTCCTTACTTATTATTAATACTTATTATTAATATAGTTTGATGTAGTATACCCCAAAATCTTACTCTAATTTTAAAGGCCACTGCAGTAAATCCTAGCTGCGCACAGGGTTTTGGGTTCCGGGTTTTGGGGCGCATATGGGTGAAAATTGCACTAAGGGTGCAAATGAGGCAGGTGCCCCTACAAGAAGGCTGTTGACCCACACCGCATGGTGACTTGCAGAACCCGGTACTCGTACGACTGGTAAGAGCTCTATATTACTTAGGCTTTCTGCCGCGGCTGCGACCCTTCACTTGGAACTTGTGGACAACTTGCAGCATGTGAAGGTCTTCCTCGGAGATTCAGTGCTCCAGGGCTGTGGGGTCACGGGTTTCTGGCGGAGTCATTTCGATTTTTCGGGTTGTGCATCATGCTTAGTTAATGACAGTTAGTGTCTTGGATTCAGGGTTTCAAGGGGCTTGAGGTTGTGAGTCGCAGTCAGGCCAGGCTTTCTTCCTCGGCAATGGGCCCCTGGGCAAACTGCGTCCCAAACGCATGACAGGCGCCCAAGATCGGATAGCAACCACCAAGTAAAAGATCCTGCATCAGAGAAGCCTGAAGTTTATCTCTAATTGTAGCCGGCCGAAGAACTACCATGGCGCTTCCAGGTAGTTCCTAGCCCTAGCTGCGAGGAGATAATGCTCTCTGTGCTTCAGCACCTCGCGCACCGCAGACGGCTCAGCTATGCCAGGGCAAGTCGTTTACATGCTATCGGTCATGGTGCGTAGTTTAAAGATGGTCTGGAGGGTCTTCTATTTAAAAACCCAAAGCACCAAGCCGATATCCCTGATTGAACTGTCACGAATCTCGGAAGTTTATAGTCTGAAGTAATGCACCGCATCACCCTGCCCGGTGCTGGTTTTGGTTTGATTTTACTTCAGCGTGCTGTGGCTAAGCTACGGCTCTTAACGACTGAAATCAGAAAACTGCATGAGTAGTGCAAGTCGAACACGTCAAAAACGAGGCGGAAGAACAATCAGAGTGATGCTAGTGGTAATCATCATAAGCACAGCAGAGAAGGAAGGCTGAAGTTGACTGAAGAGCCATCACAGCACAGTCATGATGTCGCTAATGCCAATGTCTGTTCCTAAAGAGTCTCACTGCTGGTTCCCAGCTCGTTTGAACGCGCCAGGAGTCAGCAGGTTCCCGTGCGTGCCCATGCCAGTTATCACTAGCAGAGCACATCTATGGAAATGTTGGTGGTGTTCACGTTCCTCCGCATTGGTTTCGGCCATCGGAGCTAGTCCAGCGTCAGCGGCTTCGGGTTTAAGGTTTCGAGAGTGGAGTTTAGGCTTTGGGCCCTGCCTTTCCCTGACCAGGCAGAGTCGTCGTGCTACACTGCCCGCGCAACTTGGGACATTCAGAACATGCCGGGCCAATAATTGTGTAGGCCGGGAACTGTGTTGCCCTTTTTCTGTAATCTACCTTATGGCGAGGGTCCTGTAAATAGAAAGCCATGGTAGTCCAACAAAAAGTATTGTTCCGGGTCCAGGTAGATGGCAAGCCCTAACTTGGAATTTCCGTGAAAGAGACTCTCCACGAAGCCTCGTACTAGATCAACTAGAAGCAGCATCCTCCTCAGAATGATTTGCATGATGCTTGTAGTATGTATTAGCCCGGAGACGTAGCAATAGTAGCTACCAGCGATAGAAAGAGCAATGTTAACATGGGAGTGATAGCTGTATACTACTTACTGAAGAATGGAACAGGGAGGAGCAACACAACTGAAGTCGGACAGAAAAGGTGTCAGTAAAACTGCTTGCCGAAGAATCAAGCTAATGATGCGCACAGACCAGAGAGAACGCTGATCGACGATATTCAGCCTCACGCCACTGCGACGTCGATGCTCGTGCTTGCAAACTCGATGGCAGTGATGTTGACAGCGATGCCGGGGATGGTCAGAGTGATGAAGCCTGCGTCAGAAGGGGACTCCTGCTGTTGAAAAAAATCTTGACAAAACGGCGATGATGACCAACAGAAAGACGACCATAACGTCGATGCTGGTGAGTCGGTATCTTCATGATGATGATTGTACAAATAATAACGTTGGAGGTGAGGATGATCTGATCTCTTTCGGCGGATGAGAGTTGTGCACTGCTTATGTTATGGTGGATTTATGAACGTCATGATGGGTTCGATCCTGTTAACCTAGGGGCTGTTGCTTTAAAACCCCCAGTGATATACCAATGCTTAAGCCGCAAGCCCGAAAAGTTGGCCCGACTCAACCGCAATACAGGGGCCGGAATAATTAACACTGTAAGATTTTGGGGTTCCTCGTTAGGCCCCTACACTAAATCCAGGGTATAGCAAGCCTTTGCAGGAGCGCTTTGTTGAAGAAGCCCTATTCACTATTTTAACTATCAAGGCCCCTATACGGGAGTTTCCGCAAATCAGGGGCACCTTATTTTGGGGTCCTTATGGTAAGGATCCTACTATCTAGGGTACTATATTAGGATCCCCTGTTTTCGGAAACTGCCATATTGCTGGACCAAGGCAGGCTCGGGCTCACCGCCACCTTGACGATGATCGCCCGGTACATCTCTGCCCCGGGCCGGAAATTCTCTGGCAGCTGCATTTTTGGAGAGGCACAGTCGCTCGGGTGCTAAGAAGGTTTAGGGTTTGAGGGCTCGGATTGAGGGTTCACTGGCCTGTCCAGCTCTGAATTCTGGGTTCTTCGGGGCTAGCAATAGGGCTTGTAGGTTCAGGACTTGTGAGGTCCTTTTTTTGTTTTTTTTTTTCCGGGCCTGGCTGCTTCTTTTTGCAGAAGCTTCGAAAGACAGCTGAGGCCGCTGAAGAAAGGGCTCCTCATCATCGATGATGCCGATTCGGCTTTGCTGGAGCATGCGGAAGTTTTGAAGCAGAACCTGGAGTCCGACAAGTTCTATCTGCTGGCGGGGTGCTCCAAACCGCAATGGGTGCCTTGGGTGTCGTTTTTAGTAGTTAGTAGTGGCTCTTGGGTTTGAATATTGCCATGGCGGCTTCTTAAAGTCTCCTTTATTTAGAGCTGGGAGCGAACTGCGCAACTCTAAGGAACTGTTTAGTGACGTGGTCAAGGCGGTGCATGTAGAGCTGCCACCGCTATCTTTGCTGGAGTCTGCCACGCTGTTTTTGCAACGATGTCACCGGCCCCTTACACTGGAAGATGTGCTGCACCCCAACTCGACGGACGAGAGAGTTGTCAAGAAGGAGCCTCTTCCCAAGGAGAGGGCCAAGCAACTTTTAAAGCCCATGGCCTCTGTGTTTGAAGGCGACCCTCGCCTAATTCGTCAGGCTGCCGGTAAGGTCACTCCGAACCGCCCGCCCTTGCATGGAGACTTGGAGAGCCTGAAGGCAGAATGCATCGGTGCTCTCGAAGCGAAAAAGACACCATGCCTGTGGTCATGATCGCAAGTTATGAGAGTAGTTCTCGCAGGAATGAGGATTGTCATAGCCGTTCAGCTGCGGCCTTTCCGACTCCACTGCTCAGACCTCCACTTTCTGGGCTAGATGGCGCTCCACCTCAACATCCTGGAGCGCACAACGGGTTGGCATTGAGGGTGTTGCCGCTCCTTGTGCCGTTGCGTCGTCAGATGACCAGCTCCAGCTCGCAGGACCCTGACGCAAGGCCCCTGAGTTTTGGTGACTAGAAGTGAAACAGATGCATACAAGCACTGCGGCTGCGAAGTTTTCAGCATTGTGATGTTCCAGCCCAGGTTCCTCAAGCAGAGGCTTGCTGGTTTCATGGTCTAGCCAGCATTTTTGGAACGACAGATAGAAATGATCGCATCAATGACAACAGCAACAGCAACAACATCAGTCTAGGCTACAAGGCGGTAGACGTAGTAATCACGCCCACGCATTAATGGCAGCGAGAACCAGCAAGAATGAATATTAGTGGTCCTTCGGGAGTGCATCTGGGTTCCATGCGGGCAGTGTGTACACTTCTTTTCGGGGGGCTTTGCTCTGTTGCGTGGGGTTTCCCCGTCTCCTCGGAGAGGTACCTCCATGAGCAGAAACCCTGCATCCTCCACCGGGACCTCAAAAGCAGCAACGTTCTGCTTACCAAGCCGCTAAGGCCAGCTTGAGAGGGACACATGGGAGCTTACAGGTAGTCTCCGGGGTTTGACGGTTCAGTCTTTCAGCGTCAGGGACGAAGTGAGGGTTCTATTCCAGTTCCCAGCTGCTTCGTTTGGCTGCTCTAGAACTAGGGCTCCTCTTTCCAGCTGTACTGACCGGGGCAGGGCTCTCTCTCGGGCAAACTTGCAAATGATGCGAATTGCAGTACTTCCGGAGTGTCGTTTCGTTTGAAATTTGCCTTTGCAGTACAAGCCCGTCTCTGAATATCCATCTCTGAACCCAAAGTCTCAAGCCAGGCATGGGCTGCACGTCCGAGCTGTCCGAGTGATCGAAACCCTTCCTTCTACTAAAGCCCTAATCCGTTCGAGTGACTAAGCCAGCTAATGCAGGAGTCGGATTCGTTGCCATGAGTATTCCTTCAGGCTCCCTGCTATAGTTGCAGCAATACTAGCACCAAAACCTTATTCAAGGTTGTATTCTAAAAATGAAGGCCCCTATACCGAGCCCTCAGTAAGCTTCCCTAGATCCAAACAGGCTTAGCCGGATTTAGGGTTTTTTTTCGCGATCTGGGGCGGTTGAGTGTAGTTTTTCTGTGCGCTGTTGAAGCGTCGGTGTGGCCTGCGGTGCTTAGGGTTGTTGAGGGTCGGGGTTGGAAAGGAAGACAGGCGTTTCAGTCTTGTCTGGTTAGCTGTTAGTTCTTTGACAACCTAGTACTCTGTGGAATTGGGAAGGGTTAAGTGGCGTCGGCTTTAGGTGTTTTGCGGGCTTCAACTGAGGCAGTTTAGATCTTGTTGTTTGTTGTTTTGGGATGTGGATCTTGTTGTGTCCGTGTGGATCTGGAGAACCTCTTTGCCCGCAGGCTGCAAACCCCATGAATCCCATGTGGCTCTGCAGGAATTCCAGCCAAGAGCCATTCGCGAAGGCCACCTCTTGGGAGCGTGGAAAGGCATACTTTCAGCTTCCAATGGAATATCCAAGAAGGTGACAAAGATAGCAAAGCAGATCGCATCGCAACACAGAACAACATCAAAGCAACAGTGCGACTACTTGCGTCATGCCAGTGCCAAGAGACACAATGATGAACACGATCAGTGTAGCCGCCGGGTCATCGCAGTCGGTCAGTAGGCTCACCAGCCAGCAGTCTCACAAGAAGCTTTCCGGCCTGGTTTTGTTTTCGACTCCTGAGCCCCAGATTCCTTACACGAATCGAATCCTCTAACCCTGTACCCTTTGTACTGCTGGGGTGTGGGTCTCATGCTCGAGTGGCGTGAAGACTCTCAGAACTTCGGCTCCGTTCGGTGGCTTTGCAGTACCGAGCCGAATTTTGCTGCTACTATGAACGATTACGCTTATCGTCAGCCTTTCTTGTTGCCTGCTAACTCTCCTTATATGCTAATGTCTTTCTCCTCTGTTTTTTACGAAAGCATCGCGATTTTTTCCATGGCGGTGGTTTGGATGGCATGATGCGATGCTAGTGATCTGAAGTCGTTTCTTCTGGAGGTTGCATGGGGTTTGATGGCCCTATGGTTTTCGTGAGGTAGCGCCTTGTCTATTAATCTAAGTCCTCCGGCCAGTGCGATCCATTGTAAATTCCAGTTAATGCATTGGCCTCACGAAGGACAACGTCCTCGGGCTGGGCTCTGCGTGTGCGGTTCGGTATACACGGGGACCCATTTTGGCCGTGCTCCTGAATCCCGTCTGCGTCCTCCGGCAAGCGCGGTTCATTGTAATCTCCAATGCGTTGATTCGCTTCATGTTGCTTCGAAATATGCGTCCATCGGGGCAAGCATGTTGGTCATGTGAATCCCTCTGTCATGTGGGGTGGAAGCATTTTGCCTTGCTCCAGAATCCCGCCACTACCTTGGGGGGAAGCATTGTGATGACCTATAAATCTTGGGGTTTGAAAGTGTCGATAATTTGTAGCATTATGTATGTGGGTGTCCAGACGGCAACCCCTAATCTCTGAACCCGATATTCTCATGTTGGTCTTGGCAATTTTGGGCCATCCAGGTTGCTGATTTTGGCCTTTCGCGGGTGGATGCCACTCGGCCAAAACTTGGGGCCGCATAGGGTAAGGATTAGGCCGACCTCGACGCCCAATTCACCTAGCCCAACTGCTTCCATTTTTCGCAAATGCATTAAAGTAGGGATGATCAAGGCTCCGTGATAAGCATTAAGGGATACTTGGAAGCCCATTCTAACTGCTCAGGCCGCTACATCAACGAACAGCTTGCGATTTGGGCATTACTGATGTAATTGAGGGTTTCGGAGTCTTGCTTCCCTCGTTTAGAGCTTGGTAGGCTCAGGTTGCGATAAAGTAGGCTTCCCGCAGCGGTCTGCACCACTCGGCCTAAGGTGCTTGTCTTTGTACGAAGGCCGCTAATCCCCAAGCGAGTGGACCGTACCTTCAACATGGCATCGCGCAGGTCCGGGTAGCCCTAAATGCCCAAGCGGTAAACCCCTAAAGCTCCGTCCCCTACAAGCCCAGAGCCCTCCAAGGCGACCGAGACATCGAAGCAGGGATTAACGGTCGGCGTGGGGACTTGGAGATGGATGGCACCCGAGGCCGCAGGGTTGAGGGCCTTTAGTGTTGGAGCTTCACAATGGGTGAAATAGGAATAGGGTTCCTTATGGTTGGTTGTCGTGTGATTTGGTCGGGTTTTGTTGCCCAACCTGCATGGGGGTTTGAGATTCCAACATCTTTCGGTTTGACGGCTTCCGGGTTCCCGTGATTGGAGTGGGCTTCACCAGTACTGGCTCCTGTGAGGTCACATGCTAAGCCAGAAACCCGGATAAGAAAACCCCATAGTAGAGGCTGTGGTACCTCTACTCGTCTACGCTGTCATCAGCTCAGGGAAGAGAGACCTCAAAGCGAATCTCGCGACCTTGCAGTGGCGGTTTCGGGGCTCGACCTCGCTTGCAGCTGGATCTGGTAGTTCCTTGCAAGAAAGCATCCAACTTGATGTAGGGATCTGCATAATAGCTACTACGAAATCTCCTTGCAGTTCCCGATGGTACGGTATAAACCCTAGAAGCCCCAAAATCGCATCCCCGAAATCACAACATCCCTTTCTCCGATATGAAATTATGGCCCAGCATGTAGTTTGCATCATTGCTTGAAAGCCTGCAAATCGAGCTATGGATGCCTGAATTCTCTTTCCATCGCTCGGTTAGTTGGGCGAGCGACGCCGTCAGTAAACAGTATTCGTGCATTCCGCAGCTGTGCCACCGATCATTTCAGATTGGAGAACTAGAGCCCGAGTTCAGGGGTGCAGGATTCACTTCACTCAGCCATGCCAGCGATGACTGAGATAACGAAGGGCCTAACTGTACAGAAGCTGCTGTCTGACGTGCAGCCCGACAGCAAGCGAGCAGATATGTCCAAGATCGTGGCCATGTTCAAGAAGCACTCCAAGGAAATCCACGTTTATGGAGGAAGCATTATCGGAGCTGGTAAGATGCTCTACCAGAGCAAGAGCCAGAAGCCCTACAACTGGCTCCAGTGTGGTGTGGCTGCCCGAGCCAGCAATATCACCATGTACTTTGGGTGCATCTTCAAGCTTACCGATAAGGAGGTGAAGAAAATCGGGCCAAAGTGTACCCACGGCGTCGGCTGCCTCCACTTCAAGAGCCTCGAGGAGGCCGCATAGCGGTGGAGTAGCCGAGTCACCTGAAGCCCAGAGGGGTCACCCCGTCAAGGTTTCGAAGTTAATCATAGCTTCATACAGTAAGGGTCAAGGCTTCAAGGTTCAGTTCGAAAGTTGTCGCTGTCTATCAATCCCCTGAGGTGAACCTGACTGCTCTCGAAGCCCTGATGAAGCGTGCTTTCGCTGTCAAGGAGTGAATCCGGGCACAGACCCAGAGATACCATAGCCCTTATCCAGAAAGACGGAGCGCTGGAGAGCTTATTCTGGTTCCTCTAGCAAGGATCCTCAACTATGGGATCTTTGGGCCCGGGATGCAGCAGACAGGCTAAGCTCTGTGCCAGAAACGCTGAACTGCGGGGTCTGAGACTTTAGCTCCTCTGATTATGAGTTCTATCAAATCTGAACTCAGATGTCTCGATGGCCGGTGGGAAGCAGGGACCTAACAGGCACATGGGCACGAGGATTCCCTACATTTTGCTGTCTGATGTTTTGTTGTGGGCCCTTTCATCCTTCTGTTCTTGTACTTCCCTCGGCTCCTTTTGCTGACCCACCGAACGGTTGTTACCGGCTTTAAGTACCATTCAACTCCGAAGCAGTGTCAAGCTGACCGTTTATTGGCATTGGCTTTTGCCAGACTTGGTCCTGGTACCTGAACCTTGACATGCAATCTATATATACATA